TGACGGCCGCCTCCCGCCTCCGGGGATGGAGGTCGGGGAGCAGGAGGAGAGCAGGTGAGGAGTGGGAGGGAAGGCCGAACCGGAGCGAGGATTTTGGGTCGGTGGGGCTGAGGCGGGTCGGTGGGGCTGAGGTAAAAAAGGAGGAGGAGGAGGAGGCCCCCCCGGGGGTGCTTCATGGGCCCAGTTTGGGGGTGGTGGTGGAATGAAAGGGGGGTCAGGGGGAAAAAGTAGCCCAGGACATGAAAGGAAAGGTAGGGAAATCGTTTAAGATTTTTAAAAATTTAATATATTTTTCCCCCTTTACTCCGCCTTTTTCAAAAAAAAAGGGACCCCAGGCGGCTTAACGCCCCTTGAAAGGCAAGATTTAAAGCGGAAAAACAAGGAAAGGGCACTTTGAAAGACAAAGGTTTAAAACTTCCCTGTCAGGCCAGGTTTAAAGGTAAAAACCACGAGGGCACGAAGCTTTCTTCGTTAAAAAGACAATATTTAAAGAATGAGGGCAGCGGAGTATCAAGAGGCAGCTGCCACCTTCATGGAAAGGAGAAAAAAAAAACAAAGCCTATACACAAAGGTGGCTTTCATCATGAAAAACGATATTTAAATAGAAGGATAATGACTCTAAAGAGGCAGCTGACATCGTTGAACGACAATGTTTAATGATGAAAACAATGAGGATAAAGGGGTGTCATTAAAAGACAATGTTCGAAAGTGAAAAACAGTCTACCTAAGTATAGAGGTGTTTTAAAAAGGCTCCAACCCATGGCACACTAAAAGACAATAAACAAAAGCAGCACCAAAAAAAAAATACAGTCAAAGCAGGAAGGCGCAGCCATCCATTTAAAAACACGGGGCTGAGGCAGCCGGTCCTTGAGGGAAAACTGACCTGGAGAGAAAGGTTTTCGTCTACATGCAGAAGGATGTCAAAAATGGGGCCGGCTTGGACTCCTGTGGAATCCGTTGGGTAATAATGAATAATTATTATAAAGTAATAATAATACTTTGGAATTGGTTTGAATGAATGGCAGGGTCATGCATGCCCCCATGCTATAAAAATCAAAACAGAAAGGGTTCGGAGCACCTTCATGAAGATGAAATATGTTTTAAGCAGCCATCCTGAAAATTGGCATGGAGCGAGAGGGCATTCTGTTCTGTGTTGGGCATCCTTGGTTCTACTGTCAGGCCAGGGATTGGAGACTTCAGCCTAGGCAGCTGGCAGAAAACACAGAAGCCTTTGGAAAGTGCTGTAGATTTATCAAAGCTGTAAAGAGGTTCTTGGATTGAGAAGGTTCACTTAAAAATATTTATTTGTTTATTAAATGTATACCCTGCCCATCTAGACGCAAGGCTACTCTGGGCAGCTAGCAATAAAAATGGAATAAAAACAGTATAATAAAATATAAAACAACAATGTAATATGGTTCGAGATTGGGGGGAAATAAAAATAATCAAGTGATGACAAGACAGAAAGCCTGCCTAAAGACCCAGGTCTTCAGTTGGCTCTCAAAAACATCCAGTGAGGGAGCCAGACAGATCTCTGGGGGCAGACTGTTCCAGAGGCGAGGGGCCACTGCAGAGAAGGCCCAATTTCTTGTTCTTTCTCTCTATGACTCCCTCGGCGTTAGGCCCCTCAGCCGCCCTTCCTGGCTAGAACAAATGATTCGGGTAGATCTAGGGAGAGGTGTTCTGCTAGATACTAAATTAGTGAAGACCAAGATATCGGAAAACATGCAAAATAGAGAATTTATTTATTTTATTTATTTGACATATATTTACCCCACCTTTTTCCTTAAAAGGGCCCAATATGGCTTGTAATATTAAAAGACAATATTTAAAGCTAAAAACTCTAAGGATACAAATGTTAAAAGGACCAAACTGAAACAAAATCAAAACCAAAAATACATTCAAAGCAGTAAAGTGCAACCATCCATTAAAAAACCCCAGTCATAAGGGAATGTGGTAGCCATGGTAGTTTCCTCATACATGGCTTTGTCATATACACTTAATTAACAAAATATGGAATGTCCCTTGTTCTCGGCAACAAGAAGGGTAGTGTTATTTATTAATGAAAATGCTTTCTAATCATTTTCAGGAGTCATTACCTAGCTGGGACACCCCTTCTGCTATTTCTGTGTAACTTAAAAACATACACACTTCTGAGCCAGGAAAAATTTTGTTTAGTCAACCAAATACCATCTTACTTCAATTTTTTTATACCTCATGGTAGGGGCAAGATTGGGAAGTAAGTAGAACATAAACTTGCTTGATGTTTTCTTGTTCTACAGCTCTTTGTAGGTTTTTCCTATTTCACGCCCACCTGATTTGCATGGCTAGGCTTGACAGATGTTATATGTGCCCTGCCTATTCTTTTCGGACATGGAGTTATGCAGGGAAAAACATCTCTTACAAGTCCTGCCAAAGCAGCCTTTATTGTTTTCATAGCTTCTCCATGAATGAAAAAAAAAACCAACAAACCTAACTAACGTCTGGATAAGCTTATTACAAATATACTTGAAGCAGTTGTCTGTCATGTTTTGGTTATTTGATACAGTAGACTCATGAATTTACGAAAGGGGAAGAGGGGCCGCACAAGTCTCCCAGGAAGGAGAATTATGCTTTTGGGGTCTGAAAACAGAAGAGCCCTGCCACCAATGATTCTCGGATGGGATTGTTTTGGGATGAGGCTAGGGCCCTTTCCATAAAAACGCTGGTGGTGGAATAATAGAGGAAATGCCATCCATTAGGCACCCTCTTAGCCAAAGGTGGTTAGGACTTTATAGATAATAATCACTCCCTTGAATTGTGCCCAGAAATGTACCTGTACACAGGTACACAGCTCTTCTAAACTGACTTGTCGGGCCTGGTCACAGCTGGGCCAAGCAGCTATGGTTCTACCCTTAGAGCATAGCTGGGTGGCACTGCAGCATTGCAGAAGTTGGGCAGATTAATTCCTGGCTGTGGGACATGCCCTAAAGTTTAAAGGAGGAAGGTGCCTGGGTTTTGTTTCCTCAGCATGCATTTGGCCAAAACCTTGTCGCACAGTTAGGCAATAAATAGGTGTAACTTTCAGATGTGATATTGCCTCAAGTTAAAGAAATCTCAATAAACACCAAGTCGTGCGACCTAGCATGCCACAGATAATGTCTACGGAGACTGATTAACTTGAATCTTTACTGCATTTTAAAAAGAAATGATAAAATAAGTGAATAATTATCACAATATTAGCACATAACCGAAATAACTTTCTATTATCTCTTTCGCAAAACAGTAAGTCTTTAACATTTTTTCTTCCTTATTTTCCACCAAACATTTTCTTCGCAATCTTAATAATATTCTTTTACAAAATTTTTTTCCCCCCCCCCCCCCAATTGGGATTCGTGCTCAGTTCTACTCTTTCTTTTCAATGAGTCTGTTAGTTTGTCCATTAATATTAGTTCCTGTAATTTTATTAAACAACCCTCCACCGAAGGTTCCTCCTTGTCTAAAAGTTTTTAAAAGTTAAGCCTTTTGTGTAACTGCCCAACAGAATTTCAGAAATAGTGTTCAAGGGAGCATTTTTGCTACATTCACCAAAACTTCTCAGATTGTTCAAAGGCAGCCCAAATAAGCAGGCTACTGGGTGTGAGTCTTGCCAGCCCCAGTAGCAGGGTGGATTTGATTTAAATCAAACTGATTAAAACCGCCTAGAGTGGTCCTGACACGACCAGATAGGCGTGATATAAATAGAATAAATAAATAAATAAATAAATAAATAAATAAATAAAATCACAATTTAATTTTTTAAAAAAAATCAAACCAATTAAAATCACAATTAAAAAAAATAATTGTTATCCACCTTGCCCAGTAATCTTGACAGAGTTTCCACTTTCCATCCCTTTCTCCACACAATCAGGAGATGATCGATAATATGCAACAGGATTTATTGGACGTTGGATCAGGAAAACAGAGTCAGTAGCCCTACTCACTCTGTTTTCCTGATCTGCTGTTCAAAATCTTTTTAATTGGAAATGTCAAGGAGTAAGCCTCAGAATTTATTCTTAACAGGTGTGCACTCTACTACTAGACTTGACTGTTTCCTTTCTCTGAGAATGAGGGGAATTTTCAATTTATATATATGATCAGAGACCTTGATTTGAGATCTTCTATTATTGACAAAGTCAGCCTGCAAGTGTTTTTTCTCTATAGTATGTACAACTTGTAAAGGGACATTTTTCAGTAAGCGTTTGGCAGCCTTGAACTCCAGCTGTCTGATCTTGCAGATGGCAGTGTCTTCTTCCCAAGGTTTCTTGACTGAATGTGATTATTATTGTTGTAATCCTGCATAAGGCAGTTTCTTGAGGAGTAGCTCTTTTGGCTCAGCCTCCTAGTTCTATATTTTGTGCTTCCTCTTGCCCTGCTGAGAGGTTTCCTTAGTTCCTTTATTTTCTTTGTCTGCACTCTCCCTTTGCCCAAATGGTGGAAGAGCTGTGTGCCACTTGACCACTGAACTACTACAGATGCATGCAGCAGCTACTGACTTTGTCTGTGCTTGCTTATAATCCTCTCCCAAATCATTGCTGGAAACATAACCTTGCTAAAGTGTCCGATCTACAGTTTAGTTGGACAGTCACTATTACTGCTTCAGGAAGTAGCTGATACTTATTGATTATATTCGAAACTTCTTCAGTGCTTTCTAGGAATTGTAATCTCACTGGCATTTGGGCTCTATCGTGTGTGAACCTTCTGAAAAGCTACAACTTCCAGGAAGCACCACAGCAGCTTCCTTTTTTTGTCCATTAGCAATAGGAAGTAAGGCCTGAGACCGCCACGCAGCCTTGATGATAGGCCCTAGTCTTAAGGGAGTGAAATGTTGGTGTCTGGAAGTATGGATTTATGGGTGGAATTTCCAGAGTTCTGCTTGGGAAATTCTTAGAGGATTCTGTGAATTAAAGTGAACAACAACCGCAACAAACAGCACAGACCAGGAGGCTACTAGCCATGGGGGGGCAGTGTGCAGCCTTCCTTCCTGTTTGTAGGCACTGTGTCTCCAATCAGAAGTAGGTGGTCAGCAAGATAAGAAGAAGGATGTTATGCTCCTGTTTTAACTTATGGTCGTCTCTGAATTTGATGATCCTTTGGTTTGATCCTGGACAGCTTTTCTTAGGTCCCTCTTTTCAAATAGAAGCCTGTTCCACCAGTCTCTCCTCACTCCAGCTTCCGCCTTGTTGTGAGCAGAATACAAATCTGTGATGTGAGGGCTTTATTACAGTAAATCAGAAGTAGCCCTTTTATGTGGCTTTGCTCATCGGCTTCGTGGAAGCCTTTCTCAGGATCTGTTTTCTCCCCAGAGCTCTCCGACTTGTCTCCTGCCAGCTTGCTCTGACTTGTCTGGGAAGAACAGATACGGATGCAGTGTTACTTCACGTCATTTCTCCTGGTTTAGTTTCTCTTGTCCTGGGCGATTCAAATTGATGTGAGGAGCAAGCATGGTGAAACAAGCTGATTTGCTGCCAGCTGTCTAGAAAATGAAACTCTTGTCTTCAAAGCTACATATGTTTAAGTGGTAGCTTAAGTTAGAGCAGTCCAACGCTGGAACCACGGACTTTGAGAGGTAGGGAATGCTCCAACATTGGAGGCCTTCAAGAGAAATTAACCACCGGGCAGGTATTGTTTGATTTGTATTCCTGCATTGAGCAGGGGATTGGATTCGATGGCCTTATCATGATACTGTTACTCTCAAGGCGTTCTTTAAAGGTGTGAGATGAAGGGACTTTTTCTTTTAAAGCAACAATGTCCATTGTACTGTATTCCCATTGTGGAATCCTGGGGCTTTTAGTGCACGGTTTTAATCAGTGCTTCTTGCTTTTACAATGCATGTCACCCTTCACTGGCAACCTAGCTACATGATCTGAACCATGTGGTCCTGGCTTAATTTGGGGGCAAAATCACGCATTTTCGGTTTTCTCCATATTTTTACAATTGCTTGGCTGTCGTCTTTTTAACACATGGGATGAAACTGACTGAAATTGTGACTTGCAATACAGTGGACCCTCGACTTACAGACGGCTCGACTTACAGACTTCTCTGGCTGCAAAATCTAGATTCGACTTGCAGCCAGAGAATCGACTTACAGACCAGAAAAAAACCCAAAATGGAACAAAAATAGAATAAAAACCGCCGGTTACGGGATTTATCGGTTTTCAATGCATTGTAGATCAATGGAGATTTGACCTACAGACTTTTCGACTTGCAGCCACCGTTCCAATACGGATTAATTCCGTAAGTAGACGGTCCACTGTATGGCATAAGTACCATCATGTGTACAATCTCTGCCCTGCTTTATGTTGCACTTTAAAAAATTTTTGATGGGAATTCTGGGAAATATAGTCCAAAGTGGTAACATTTCCAAGGGCTGGCCTTTCTTTTAAAGAAGTGGTTCCCAGCCTTGGGTCCCCAGATGTTCTTGGACTAAAATTGCCGGAAGCCTAGTTGACAAGATTAGCCCAAGGGATAGTAACTTTTTCAAGGTCACTCAATATACTTTATGCAAGATAGAGATGTAAACTTTAAAAGAACCTGGGGAAAGTTACTTTATTCTGAGGGACAGATATTGGTATTTCCAGAGGAAAAGCTGAAAACTCTGGGGAACTTTCAAGAATATTCTGAAATGTTTTCTCTTTTGAAATAAGCAGTATGCTTCTCCAGACAAGATTTTACTCAGCTAAGATGCCCGGAATTGTATACAGTAGTACGAACATTCATATTTAAGACAGTCTACAGAATTATAGGACAATTCCTATACGTACTATAGACGTACACAATACTCAGGTCCAAGATGCATTTCAACACCCAGTGAGTGATGCCAGCTTTAATGAGAGGAATAAATGACTCTTGTAGCTGCACTTTTCCGTGATGTGCACTTAATGCTAATAAAAGCATGACATCATTGATATAGTTGGGATTGTCCGCACCTCCATGTACTCATATAATACGCTGCATGTTTTAACTTGCTCTGTAATCATTTGGGGGAGAGAAGTGGTTTAACTAGGAGAGACAAAGGCAGTACAAGAAATAAAGGGTTTCATTTGCTTCTCTCTGTTGTGGTAACCCAGGGAGTGCAGAGGAGAAGGAAGGGTGTCTGCTCAGAAAGCTCTAGCAGTGCTGCATTTCTAGTGAAAATGCTTTCTCAAAAGCAGTTCCTACTTTCCTAAGAAACTGGCAAATGACCACTCCGGTGAACTAAAGGTTGCTTAGTGATGCTGTAATCATAAGGAGAAAGCACCCTCATAATACAGTACGTACGTACNCCCCCCCCCCCCGGTCACCTTGTTATAAAATGTTTTATAAGCTTTTCAAAATGCTCTTATGGGAGAAGAGGGCATTCCCCTTGTGGCTGGGCTTTCGCTGAGACTTTAGCTATTCTGAGCGCACATAAATTCACTGAACAAAAGCAGCCTTCTGTGTTTTAGTGGTCCGTGAGAGTGTCCAGTGTTGTTCTTAATACACAAAGCACGTTCTCTCGAGGCAGAAGGAAACAGGAGGAGGCTTCTAAATATAGGCCTAATACATTGCCAGCCTTTGTCTGTGTTGTTTTTTAGCTTACAGAGTTGCTGATCATGAACTCGTGCACCCTCAGTTTCCTAACTTCAGTCTTCTGCTCTCTTATGCACTTCGATACGTTCCTTGTTGCTACCTCGCACGTCTGGAACTGCCCTGCTCCTCCTCAGTGACTTAAATGCTCTCACTTATAGACCTCATAGAACTCCCTCTCAAGAATTGTGGTTGTTGGTTTTTTTTTTCTTTCTTTCGTCATTTCCAAAGAGGTTTTAGAAGAATTTACCATGCTCATTGAAGGCTAGTTAACTGTTTGGATAACACAAAGCAAAAGTAGTTCCAAAAGTACTGTGCCACCCTCAGGACCAGTATTTATTTCAATGTGAGTTTTAGTGGATTACAGTGGATTTCATACAAAATACAAATTTCCATATTTAGCCAGAAATGTATATACTATATACAGTATACAGCGTTGTGGGTATAGGTTCTAAGTAAAGCAAAATACAGGCACAAATAATGAACTTTGAACATGACAACATTATTGCTAGCACAGATAGTAAACTTTAGAAGTGTTTCATAAACTCCTTGGCAGAACAGTATACCAGACAAGCATATGTATTTGACTTTGAAACTGTTGCAGGAAGTTCTTTGGAAGTGGTTTTATGTGCTACCTTCTCTGTGTTGCCATTTATAATACAGTATCAAATTTGTGCCCGTTTATTTTATAGACTTATATACCCTTGACTTAGTGTGGGATACTAATTTAAACGCATCTGTGAAGATTCGATGTGTTTATCTGGAAGTTGAGTCATGGCCAGTGGACTTCTTTCTTGTTAGATTGAAACGTTTCATTACTCACCCAAGACTGATGAAGCTCCTTGGATGAGTAGTGAAACATTTCAACAAGAAAGAACTCCAGTGGCTGTGACTCAACTTCCTGACTAATCTAAATAGTTTACAAACATAAAATAAGCAATTACTGCAGCCACCCACCAAAACAAATAATATAAATACCCACATCAAAATAAATGATGGCGGACTCCGGGAAGCACATTTGGAGAGAGACTTAAGGGGGAATGCCCTTAAATGTCTTAACCTGCTTTTTAAACATCTGTCCTATGCAAAATTGAGAGGGGCACTGCTTGCAAGGATGGAGCAGATCACCATAGCCGACGAAAAAGTAAATGAGTGCCTGATATGCATATCTGCTCGAGGAGATTGCAGTCTTGAGAGTTTTCCAATAAGTACAGGGTGATCCCGTATGTTGCAGTGGCAGATTGCTGCTCATTGGTGAGCATTCCTGATGGCACAGTCGGGTGCATGCCCGGGAAGGTGTACAGCACCATACAGTTGAATGGCAGTTTGCTGCTTGCTGCTTATCTGGTTTCCATTATGCAAGTGTAATTCTCAGATATGTTTCTAGTTATATCCAGATAGGCGGGATATAAATACAATAAATTAATTAATTAATTAATTAATTAATTAATTAATTAATTAAAATATGTTCCAGATATTATATTTAAAATATATTACGACGTTGGGGCAAGCAGATCTTAAAGGCATTGACCTTCCTTTGCAGTTTGCCTTCAGATGGCTGATACTCACAGTAGACAGCCTCTGAACCCTTTAGCTGTCATAGTTGTTGATAGGATCTATCCTTGTTGAACCTGTTGCCACTCCTTCTTAACCCTCTTAACCCTATGGGCATTGCTCTCTCTTCTGACAGAACATGTCATGTCTCAGTAATGTTTTGTGCCATCCATCAGTCGGTTGTCTTTTTCGCTCAGCGATCCTGCATCCCTGTGTTTTTCTGCGTGAGAGATAGAGAGCTGCAGACAAATGTGCATACCTAAGGACGGACATACCTACGTGTGTACAAATATTTGTTTGTGTCTCTGCCTTTTCAGACAGTGATCAGTTCCTTTTTACTACACTGAATTATTTAATTTATTACTGAATGTCACTTAGAGGGTTAGTGTGGAAATTTCTGCAAAGGAACCTCTTAAGACCTCAGTAGCATAGCCTATAATAATATTATACTATTATAATGCAGTATCATGTAGCATAGACTTTGTGCTAGAAGGAAGTGAATGAGCTCATATTTTGCTTGCATTGCTGATTTTCCATGAGAATGAAACAGCCAAGGATTACAGCACTCTTAGTCCCTGGGCATAGCAAGCATCTTTCTCTTCACTAAAGAACTCATGGTGGTTTGTTTTGGGATTTCTTGCCCTTTTCAGGAAGGAGCACTGGAAGCTGCTGGGGAATCTGAAGACCACTGTGGAAGGCTTGGTGTCAATCAACAATACCAATGTCTGGTCTAAGTATGGTGGCTTGGAGCGACTCTGCAGGGACATGCATAGCATCCTATATCATGGGCTCATCTCAGACAAGGTAGGCAACTCCAGATGCTGCTGTTTGGAATTCAGGCCCATGCTGCTGTTCCAGCAGGCAATCATGTCCTGATGGCTCTTTTCCTGGGCCTTTCATAGTATTACACAGGGGAAAGAAACACTGAGAGTATCTACTTCAGTGCACTCCCATTTACCCTGTATACTATGCCTTGAAAGAAAGTAGAGACAAAGTTTAGTAACTGAGTTTTGACCACAACTTCAATGGGAACTGCAATGAAAATGAACAAAGGAATCAGTTCATACCACAGCTCATCATCTTTAACAGTGAATTTTCAGCTGATTTTACCGGTGTGTGAAAGTACATTGATTAATTTTGAACCAGTTGCCAATCAGTTTCACTGGAGGAGCCCAGAATGTTCTTTCTTACCATTTATGATTTAGTGGGCTTCTTTGTGTCTTTTAGTATACACCTTTATCTATCTATCTATCTATCTATCTATCTATCTATCTATCTATCTATCTATCTATCTATCTATCTATCTATCTATCTATCTATCTATCTATCTATCTATCTATCTATTTATTTATTTATTTATTTATTTATTTGATTTATACCCCGCCCATCTGGTCTGCCGACCACTCTGGGTGGCTATCATGGTGCTATTTCAGAACATGTTCTCTCGTCCTACTTCTGTCAGATTTTGAACAGCACAAATTTGCTCACACCTGTATCTTCCAGTTTTTTTTTCTGTCTATTGGCAACAGCAAGAATAAATCGTTAACTTGTTTGCTTGTCTTGTGGTTGAAATATTGCCCATTTGAGATCAGAATTGTTATATCTGTTTTGAGGGCTTTCTCCCTCCTCCTCAAAAGATCTAATCAGATGGCTTGCTACAGTAGTGAAAACGCTATACTGTAATCCATATGCACAGTCCCCCACCCATCTAGCTCAGTATTCTATACTATGCCTGGCAGTGGCTGTCTCAGGCATATGTCTTTCTCATGATATGAATCTACTTTGGTAATATAATCAGTTTTAGCTCCCTATTTAAAATGCTTCTGACAGAGAAGCTATAGCTAAGGAATATACCAGCCAGTAACTATGGGCTCAGTTCCACTTTTCTGCTAATGAGAATTTTTAAGAGAAAATTATTGGGGTCCATTTACACCTTTACGATAGATTTCTAGTAAAATATCAACATCAGTAGTAAAGTGTCAACATCAGCATATATTTTATAACATATAGCTAATATAAAAAGTAATAGGTTTTCGGCATTCTTGTCATTAAAGATGGTCAAGGTCTTCATTGTTCAAAAGGTGTGGCTATGGACAGCGCTATTAAGAGCCTTACTAATGGATCAGAGTACGCTAATCAGTACATGCTGATATATTGGCACATACTTCCTAGTGTAAGGGCTGCCTTCTCATTTAATAATTCCTTAGCTTCCCATAAGTAACTAGGACTCACATTCCAAGCTCTCTAATTGTTACTAAACATTTGTGAGAAATTAGATGAAAGTAAGTAGACGTGTTGATTCCGACAAGGTGGGGTTTAGCTGTTAGTGATTTGGATGGAGGGTTGAGAAATCCACCCTGCTGAATTGCAAAGCTTGTGTGGGTGACTTTGAATTGGTTACTCTCAGCTTGACCTTCTCTTACAAGGATAAAGAAGGCAAGAGGCAAGCTATGAACTGGTTGGAGGAAAAGCGACATATAAATGTAGCTAATAATGAAATGAAGATTGGTTCTGAATTTCTGAACTATTTTGGATCCCTCCTGCGTTATCACCAGGGCTTGAAAAATGCACTCGTCCACTCGTCTGTGATGAGTGAAAAATGCTGCTCAACAAGTCACAGCTCCCTCCCTCCGCCTCTCTCTCTCTAATCCTGCAGTCCTCCCCTCACCCCTCCCATTGCAAAAGGAAAATCTGCGCCCTCTTCTCGCGAGAAGAGAGTTCGAGCAGCACATGGAGATACAGCTCTGCAGGAGAATGTAGAGTAGTCCCATGCTGGAGAATATGGTGATTCCCTGCTCCCAATTTCAACCAAATGAGGACACGTCCTGGCAGGGAACAGTGGCTCCTTAAGAGGCCGGACGCTTTTGCTTTTTCCACTACAGTGGGGTCTCGACTTACGAACGGCTCGACATACGAATGTTTCGACTTACGAACTGCTCTCAAAGGGATATATGGACTCGACTTACGAACTTAGATTCGAGTTACAAACTCTTTTTTTCCCTTTTTTTAAAAGCTAAGTCATCTTAGGTTAAAAGGAAAAAAGAAAAAATATCCCCCTCTAGTGGCAGAAGGTGGAATAGCAGCTTCCCATTAGTTTCTATGGACAAAAAGAGCAGATACGGATTAAATGGTTTTCAATGCATTCCTATGAGAAATGCAGATTCGACTTAAGAACTTTTCGACCTGAGAACTGCCTTCCAATACGGATTAAGTTCGTAAGTCGAGACCCCACTGTACTACAGTTTAGCCCTACTAAAGCCATTGATAAATGGCACTTCAGTGCTAAAACTAGCAGGGATGTCCAAGGACACAAATGCAACACTTCTGACAGCAGTGCATTTTCTACCAAGAAGACATAGGTGAATACTGTGTATGTAATACAATTTATTTTAGGTTTGTATACATTCCTGTGTAGAAATAAAAGTGAACAAGTGCCTAGTTTAAATTTGTTAACATAAATTGCAAAGCTATAGTCCAGTCATGCTGACTGGTGAAATTTTTGACTGACTGGTAAGACATTCTAAAATTTTCCAAGTCCTGATTATCACCTGGGCAGCTGCCATTCCCCCAGAGTACAGAGCAGGGAAAGAGAAATGCTGCTGTTCCATTGCCTTATATAGCAGAGAGGAGTGGCGCCTACTACGGTTGCTCTTCAGCCACCAAACCAGAGGAGGAAGCCCAGCGTCTGGCTGTAGCTGTGTCTGGAAACAGCATGGGTCATGGGTGACATGCTGGTGGCCAAGTTAGTTGCTCAGCAACCAGGAGACACTGCCAAAGCAAGCAGCAGGCTGAAGGACAGGGAACCAGAGTGTTACAAGTGGCCAAAGCAGCTTTGAAGGAGTAGAGGCAGCCCAGAACTTTGGAGAGATGTCCTTTTCAGAGCAGACCCAGCTGGATTAAAGAGAGGCAGGTGGCACAGAGCTGGTGACCAGGGAGAGGCAGGTCGGGGGCTCAGAGAGGCCTCCAGTCCTGGGGACTAGGAGGGCTTAGCCCAAGGTTCAAACTGCACAAGTGGGGGACTCCCATCACCCAGGGAACCATGCTTCCCAAGGCTCTTCTGCATTGGGGCACTCCCAATTGACTGGGCTCAAGTTCAGTGATAGTCCTCAGCCAAACCCCATCCTGATCCACTTTACTTCCCATCTGCTCCCAATCCCGAGGCAGCATGCTTTGAGTCTGATCCCGGTCGGGGAGGACTTGCCATGCACCTGGCCCTGATCCCCCTACAACACTTACGGGATGCAGAGTCCTGCTCCTGTGGCGACTCCCCATGCTCCTGGCATGTTGGTGCCTCCTTGAAATCCTGTTCCGTCAGCCCTGTCACACTATCTGAGCTGGTGCATCAAGTCAACAATAGGCAGTAAAAAGTTAAATAAACTGAAATTAAATCCAGGCAAGTGCTGTTAGCTAGGACTCCTGCTTTTTCAAGGTTAGAATATCAGCACTTCTCTTAAACAGTCAGACTTCTAGTTTAGAAATATTTCTGATCCTGGCCTTGTTACTAGATGTTTAGGAGTACAGTAGTCTGTGGCCAGATATGCATCGGTTGAGCTGCTATCACCTTTAAAGCCTTAACTATATCCATCTTTCCTTTATCACCTTATATGGAATGTTACTTTCAGAGGCCAACATGCTGATTGCTGTGTTTCATATGTAGAGTTCACTGCCTTGGGAAGTTAGGTCTGTTTTCCCTTTACCTGAGTTTTTTCAGCCATTTAAGATAGTCACTTCAAATAGGATTCTGCTGTTTCTTACTTGTGATGTGCAGTTTTGGCTCTTTATGTACATGTGTGTTCTGATGACTGAGTGTTATTTTTATGTCCGTTGTTACATTTTGTAAGCTGCTTGATTCATTTTTGGGAAGGAAAAACATAGGAGAAGGGTTTTTTTTAAAAAAATAGCAAAATATTTTAGGGAGGGCCTTGCAGGTCTGTAATGCAGGGCTATAGATGTAATTTGGTGTAGGCAGATCTACATACAGTATGTCCATAAAAGCCAAGCAGGAGTTTAGAAATGCTCTAAATAATTTAAAGCCAGGCTATTTAAAGCTCTCTTGTTCTTGCTATAAATATACATTCTATCTTTGGTACATACATTTTTATTCCGGATGCTGTAGCCAGTTGTTCTCATTTCAGACACTAACTATCAAAATGCATAGTAGCTAGGTGGTCCTGTCAAATATAAATAATTTACTCTAGTTGTGTGTATATATCACCTCAGTTAATTATTTTTAAGGTATATTTGGTATTAGGTGTATTTTAATAAGAAGTACAGGACATAAATTACCTAAATAAATCAAATATATGCTGTTGTCTGGGAAAGCGTGTGCTATAATTCTGTGAATGAGATGCTACAAAGATTTAGTATTAATTAATTAACAAATTATCCTGCTAACCTAGCCGTTCGAAAGCATGTAAAAATATGAGTACATAAATAGGTACCACCACGGTGGGAAGGTCATGGCATTCTGTGTCTAGTCGTGCTGGCCATGTGACCGCGGAAACTGTCTTCGGACAAATGCTTTAAACCTTTACCTTTACCTAATTAACAAATTAATTGTCACTACAGATCAGACCAGCAGCTGTTATGGCAGAAACATTACTTAGAGTCTTGGCTTCAATATTAGAATTTTGAAACAATAGCAGTAGCAACCAGTTAAATAAACTTTGAGTTATATAAATATTTATTTATTTATTTATTTTATTTATTGGACTTATATACCGCCCCATAGCACTACAAGCACTCTCCGGGCGGTTTACAATTTTAATTATACAGGCTACACAAGGCTATGTTTGATGATCTACAACTAGATGCCTAGTTATAGACTACCTGCAGGTGTGAAGAGTTTTTTGTACGGTCTGTTTCCTTGGAACTTCAAATTTTAGGGTTAAATTTGCATGTCTTCTTAGCAGGCACTAGAATCCATGGTTCAGTTGCTGTTGTTTCATGTACGTGTCATCTACCCCCTCACATGTGCCAGGAAAAAGCTTCATGCTGTTTCTTGTAAAATGCATGAAAAAATAGTTGTGGTTCGTTCTTCTTTACTTCAGTGTTTTCTCTACCTGGAAAACCCTGGAAAGGGTCACCATAAGTCAGGACTGGATGGCACATAATTATTGTTATAATGATCTGTGTAACCTTATTTCACACCCAGGAAGGCTTTTGCTGGCTTGCCTGTGAATTCTCGACTGCATTTCGGACTTTCTGCTGGGGAATGGACAGAAGCAACTTGGGTGACCTTTTTTGTGTGCATCCACTATAACAGATGATTACAGAAGTAGCACTGCAAAGATTTCACCTGCTATCGTTTGTCATGTAGTTCAGATTTAGCATATATGAAGGAATGAGTTTCCTTCCTCTTTCTCGACCTGCTTCTAATGATTTTTTTTTGGTTGATGGTATGTTCCTTTTTTGTATGTGCAATGCACAGAAGATCACATTACCTCTCCAGTCTGGTTTGAGTACTTTAGCGAGCTGGTCCTGCCAGGGAAATCTAAAAATCTGTTTCCTTGGCAGGTGTGCTGCAGGCAGAAGGATTACTGGCAGTTTGTGAAGGACAGCCGCTGCCTGAGCCCGAACGCTGCCCATCACCTTGAGAAGGTGAGTTTATGTTTGGAAGCAGGGGAGGGATTCCTGTGCTTGCTGTGGGCGGCAAGAGAGAGTGATGATGAAACAATTGAGAAGCAAGGTTCTCATGATCAACAAGGTGAGTGGAGGTCATTTGCCTCTGTGGTGTAGTTTGAACCTTTCCAAAAGGCCTGGAAAGCAAAGTACAGAGAGACAGCGTGTGAGACAAGAGGCAGTGGGTACGTGGCTCATAGGACAAGGGAGGCTGAAGGGCTGTGAGAGGGAACGGAGGGCAAATCCTTAGTTGGCAGCCTATCGCAGCAATTGCAGGTCGGTGGTGGAAAACAAGCCACCACAGACATGAAGCTTGAGAAACCAGAAAGGGAAGTTCAGGGCATGAGCTGTGGTTTCAGGGATTTCCCTAATCATAGGGAATCTGGACCCTTGAAGAAGGGAGACAGCTCCCTGTTTTGTAGCAGATGTTAGACCAGGCTCCTGTTGAAGAGTCCGGAGAAAGCACAAAGCTGGGCAGAGGTGAAAGCAAAAGTAAGTGCTGACGGTCTTTTGTCGTGGCCGAGTCCTTGTATCTCTCAGACCCCTGGGGCAATCCTGATCCAGAAGGATTCATTGGTGTACATATAGGCAGGGAGAAGTGTCTTGTCCCTTGGTTAAAACATGTTCTGGCTGATTTCTCTCTATTTTTACCCTAAAATTGTAATCAGGTTGTAGTGTAGTGCTAAATCCAACCAGCACCTCTTGGGATCTTTTGCAGCTTGCATCCTGACATGAGATCAAGGAATCGGCTACTTGATGGGGACACTGGGATGATTCTGATTTAGTTTAGTTTATGTTTAGTTTGAAAAGCACGCACCGTCTCCACCTCCTTCGGTCAGACTTATGTTTAGTTTGAAAAGCACGCACCGTCACCACCTCCGGCCAGATGCAGGTCAGCCTTAGTGGTGTGATGCCTGCTTAGAAGCTTGTTTGCCTAGAAGCTGTGGTGTCTCCCCTCTCCATAGAGACTGTAATATCTCTTTCAGAGCAACCCTGTGGGACCATTCCTCCCCACCCCGTCTTACACATGAGGAACTGAAACTGAAAGCTATTGACTTAGCCATACAGTAACGGACACCAATACTGCCTCTCTATCTGTCAGGCGCCGCCTCAAGTAGCAGCTGCAGTATTGCTGTCTGGAAGGTTGGCAAATCAGGACCAGCTGACAGGAGCAATTACCGACATATTGCTGGTATCATCCCTCTGCTGTCCCTTAGTGCCTGTCTGTGTCCTGCTTTTTGTTGAAAGTGCCATCTGTCTTCCAGTTCATCAGTCTGCATGAGAACGGGCGGCCAAACACCGACAGCCTCAGCGACCGAGCCATTGCAGAGCGCTGGCTCCAGCACAGTCTGCAGTTCCATTGCCTGTCAGCGCAACTGAAGCCTCTGCTTGAGAACAAACAGTACATCAGGAAATTCTATGCAGGTGAGTTGAAATCAGCACTGAAGGTGCTTTGCTTGTTTCTTCTCCTTCTGGATCAGAATGGATTGCGTGATCTTCTCTCCTGCAGGTCTGCAGGGCCAGCAAACTGCAGGCAAAAGATGATTTGCAGGGAGCCCCAGCTTGCCTCCCTCTGCTTCTCCCTCTCCCAAGGACTTCATTTAACCTCTTCCAGGCCAGCTGATATTAAAACCCTTGCTGGCCACGTAGCAGATGCTTCTTGAACCTCATCTGGAAGACCCTCTTCCAGGCCAGCTGATATTAAAACCGTTGCTGGCCACGTAGCAGATGCTTCTTGAGCCTCATCTGGAAGACCGCACATTGCCACAACCATTTCTGATGCCGTTTTTGGTATCCCTCTGTGAACTAATTTTTCTTTCTCTTCTTCCTGCTTCCTTCAAGAATCCATAGTTGTTGTCCTGAGATTTTCCCATGAATTCTGTGCGATCGGGATTTAAAAAAAAAATTCCTGGCATGGAGCTATCGTCCCTAAGGGTCTGGTCTGATTGCCTACCTGGGTGCATAACCGCCAACCGCCATTTTTGCCTGTTTCAGTCATTGGCAGCTGTGTTCCTCCAGCATGTTGTTAACTCACAACTCCCATCGGCTGAGGTGCCTTTACTAAATATGACACTTGAGTCAGCCTTCTAGACTTCTCCCTTCAGTCTTTTGTTTCATATCTGGTTTCGCATTGTGCCAGTGTCACTTTTACTTATATTATTTATTAGTTAAGTGCCTTAAGAGTTGAGATGTTGAAGGTATGGGATACAGTATATATTTCTAAAATGAATAAAAATAAATCCAGCACAGATTTGTGTTTGCATTTGTATGTGATGAAAGTTTAGTGCAATTCTTTAAAAGCTGATTCTCTGTTTTAAAAATACAGAATAGTTGAAGCAAATAGAGTATTAAGCAAATAAAAAACTTTGTTATTGTTTAGTCGTTAAGTCGTGTCTGACTCTTTGTGAAGCCATGGACCAGAGCATGCCAGGCCCTCCTGTCTTCCACTGCCTCCCGGAGTTGGGTCAGATTCATGTTGGTAGCTTCGAGGACACTGTCCAACTATCTTGTCCTCCGTCATCCCCTTCTCTTGACTTCACACTTTTCCAACATCAGGGTCTTTTCCAAGGAGTCTTCTCTTCTCCTGAGATGGCCAAAGTATTGGAGCCTCAGCTTCAGGATCTGTCCTTCCAGTGAGCACTCGGGGTTGATTTCCTTCAAAATGGATAGGTTTGTCCTCTTTGCAGTCCAGGGGACTCTCAAGAGCCTCCTCCAGCACCACAATTCAAAAGCATCAATTCTTCGGTGGTCAGCCTTCTTTATGGTCAAACTCTCACTTCCATACATCACTACTGGAAAAACTATAGCTTTGACTATATGGACCTTTGTTGGCAAGGGGATGTCTCTGCTTTTTAAGATGCTGTCTAGGTTTGTCATCGCTTTCCTCCCAAGAAGCAGGCATCTTTTGATTTCGTGGTTGCTGTCCCCATCTGCAGTGATCATGGAGCCCAAAAAAGTAAAATCTGTTACTGCCTCCATATCTTCCCCTTCTATTTGCCAGGAGGTGATGGGACCAGTGGCCATGATCTTGGGTTTTTTGATGTTGAGCTTCAGACCATTTTTTGTGCTTTCCTCTTTCACCCTCTTTAAGTAGTTCTTTAATTCCTCCTCACTTTCTGCCATCAGAGAGGTATCATCTGCATATCTGAGGTTGCTGATATTTCTTCTGGCAATCTTAATTCCGGCTTGGGATACATCCAGTCCTGCCTTTCACATGATGTATTCTGCACATAAGTTAAATAAGCAGGGAGACAATATACCTGTACACCCCTGAACGCTACACAACACGCAAAAAGCAGAGACATTACCTTGCCGACAAAGGTCCAAATAGTCAAAGCTATGATTTTTCCACTAGCGATGTATGGAAGTGAGAGCTGGACCATAAATAAAGCTGACTGCCGAAAAATTGATGCTTTTGAATTGTGGTGCTGGAGGAGACTCTTGAGAGTCCCCTGAACTGCAAGGAGAACAAACCTATCCATTCTAAAAGAAATCAACCTTGAGTGCTCACTGGAAGGACAGATCCTGAAGCTGAGGCTCCAATACTTTGGCCATCTCATGAGAAGAGCAGACTCCCTGGAAAAGACCCTGATGTTGGGAAAGGGTGAGGGCAAGAGGAGAAAGGGATGACAGAGGACGAGATGGATGGACAGGGTCACCAAAGTGACCAACGTGAATTTGACCCAACCCCGGGAGGCAGTGGAAGACAGGAGGGCCTGGCATGCTCTGGTCCATGGGGTTACGAAGAGTTGGACACGACTTGACGACTAAACAACAAGTTCACTATATAGTAGCAAGTTCCTCTTTTATCTAGAAGGCTCTTGATTACTTCTCCTATCAGTCCCTTAATGTAAAGCCTATTGTTATGAGGCAAAATGTTTCCTGCATGAAGATGCATGAAGAATCAAACAAGGAGTAGGCTGTGGGAATCTCGAGTTTTCTCTTTCCCCCTCCCCTTTTGCAGATACAGCTTTTCTGCTCAGTGACGCCCATGTCACAGTCATGTTGCAGTGCTTAGAGGCTGTAGAACAGAACAACCCCCGGCTCCTGGCTCAAATAGACACATCTATGGTGAGAAGAATTCCGTCTTTGTCTCTCTCTCCCCCCACCCCCACCCTCGACTCTTAATCCTTTCCTCCACTTGCTCCTGTGTGCTATCTTCTCTCATATAATATCTCATTCAGGAGCAAACAGACATCTTTTGAAGAAATGCTTTGCCTGCTTGACCCTGGAACTTAAATGCCAAAAGTGGTAGCAGCCGAATTGCAGAATGGCTGGCAAGAGAAGACGCTTATCCTTTAACTGTAGCCAGATTGTAATGGTTGTCATGTAGATGGGTCTTGCAGGGAGGGTTTTTCCCCCAGCGGCCTTGCAATCTCTCCTGGCTCAGTCGCTTCCCAGTTCATTCCATGAGAGAGCCTTTCTTGATCATAATCATACTGGGCAGAACAAGAATCTGTTGTCATAGATCTGAGAAATAGCAGTCTGACAATGAAATAGAGTGCACACGGAAGCTGTGGATGAGTCTCTTCCCCAGAGGACTTACGCGTAAAAGAGATTGCCTTTTTGAGTCCTTGAGGTCTAGAACCTTGAGGTGGCAGTCATATTTGCCTTGCAGTTTCCCTGCTAGTTAAAAAGATAAATGTTCCCCTTGACATTGAGTCCAGTCGTGTCCGACTCTAGGGTGCAGTGCTCATCCCCATTTCGAAGTCATAGAACCAGCGTTTGTCGGAAGAGAGGACTTACGCGTAAAAGAGATTGCCTTTTTGAGTCCTTGAGGTCTAGAACCTTGAGGTGGCAGTCATATTTGCCTTGCAGTTTCCCTGCTAGTTAAAAAGATAAAGGTTCCCCTTGACATTGAGTCCAGTCGTGTCCGACTCTAGGGTGCAGTGCTCATCACCATTTCGAAGCCATAGAACCAGCGTTTGTCGGAAGAGCATTTCTGTGGTCATGTGGCCAGCCCGACTAGACACGGAATGCTGTGACCTTCCCACCGAGGTGGTCCCTATTTATCTACTTGCATTTTTATATGCTTTCGAATGGCTAGGTTGGCAGGAGCTGGGACAAGCGACGGGAGCTCCCTCTGTCGTGTGGATTCGATCTTAGGATGGCTGGTCTTTTGACCTGGCAGCACAGAGATTTTCTGTGGTTTAACCCGCAGTGCAACCCTGTCCCATTCAGAAGCTAGTTGGGGGTGCCCAAATAGAAGAGCAACAATGGTTCACCGCCAGCCCTGAAAAATAACTTCCCATGCATTTCTCTTTTTTGTCCTGTGGAGGGGCAGAGTTGCTTGGAGGTTTTGGAAACGTTGACGGATGCCCTTAGTTTATGTGGGGTAATGACACTAAAGGAGCACAGTGCTATTTCAGCAACTCTTGAACATGTTCAAGGATGTTGTGTCGTGTACAAGCACAAGAGGGCAAACAGTATCTTTGATTCCATGCCCATGGCCATGTTACTCAAGTACGTAAATTCTGCTAACCTAACAATGTAGACTCGCTTGCACCAAAAGGGTTTCACAGTGGGTCGTTGGATGTTCCTCATTGGATAGGTTGAAGCAGATGCGTGTAAATAGACAGATGAATGTAAATAGTTGGTAGTATCTCTTTTGTCTCTGGTCCTGTGGCTTTGTTTCCTTCTGTGTTGTCTGTCGGCTCATTAACTCAGTCCACCTTTCAGTTTGCCAGGAAGAGCGAGGTTTGTGTCCCTGTGACCAAGAGCCAGAGTCTCACCGCACTTCCTGGATCCGTATGCACCCCTCCCGCTGAGTGCACCGCCCACCGCTATTTCGGTTCCTTCTCAGGTCTTCACTCAGCCTCTGCCTGCATCCCAGGTAAGGGAGACGGGCGAACGCGCTCCTGAGCTTAGGGGCACATTTCCCCAAGAGAACGTCTTTTCTGTGGTTGGGTTCTTGTCTTGTAGAGCCTCTGTTTCATTTCACAGCGGTTGTGGGCATAAACCAGTTTTGTCAGACCGCACTTCGGAGGCACTCTGCCTCTGAATACCAGTTGTTTCAGGGTGGAAGGAACAAAAGATCACAGTTGCCTTCATGACCTTCTTCTGTGCTTTCTACAAAGCACTCTTGGAAACAAGATTTCAAGCAGTTGTTTCAGGGTGGAAGGAACAAAAGAAGATCACAGTTGCCTTCGTGACCTTCTTCTGTGCTTTCCACAAAGCACTTTTGGAAACAGGATTTCAAACTAGCCCTTCCCATTCCGATCCTGCAAGGCCGTTTTTGGTCAAGAGTACTTTTGTGGATATTCTCTGGTCCTCTCCAGCTGTTGGAAAGCTTATGAGCCTATTTTGATGAGCTCAGTAGCAAGACTCTTCTTTCGGTTAACCTTTAGTGAGGTGCAGCCATTTGGTGCTTAAACCTTGACAGGTTTCCCGACGCTATGGAGAGGAATCTTTTGGAATGGATGTCATGATCTCAGGCTTCAAGCCTTGAAACAAATGGATATTTTTCTTTCTATATCCACCCAGCGCAAATGAAGAGTTGAAGTATTTCCATGCTTAGGTTCAGGAGACTGTTGCTCTAACTCAGTGGTGGGTGAACTCAGTGGGGCTGAGGGCTATTTTTTAAGATTTGCCAGTAACCTGGGGGCTATCTTCCTATGAGGGTGGGCTCATTTGCTTGTTTTTAAACCAGTAGTGGTTCTGTAACGGTGGTTCCAACGAGGCAGTTTTGTTAACTGAAAAATTGGTTCACTGAAAAATGTTTTTAATTTTAAAAAGCCCTGTTTTGCCCTCTAGTGACAAAACAAGTATATAATTGTTTTAAAAGCTTTTTTGGAGTATGGGAGGTCTGGGGTGCTAGAGGATACCTCAAACATGAAGCCATTTCACTCACTAGGCACAAAAGTAAATTTGGAGCAAAAAATGATTACAATTTTTTTGGAGGGTTGGGGGGGTGGCAGCACAGAAATAGCTTTTTTCTCCCCACTTCTTCTCCAGCTATGACAACCCTGGCAGAACTATGGGGAGCAGGGAATGGTTTCACACCATTGTGTTGTTGCTAGTTTGATACTTGCAGTAAACCATGGATTTTGAAGAGGTCCCAGATTTTCTGTTGTCGAATTGTAGTCCTGTAGGTAATTTTGTTCCTGAGAATTCTGTCTTACTTTTTTTTTTCTCTTTCCTTCCATGCCTTTTTCCAGACAGGAGATTGTCAAACCCTTCGGTATGCAGCAGTACCAGCCAGCCTCAGGATCACACCCTATGTGCCTCACCTCCGTGGCAGCCGGAGGGCAGGTCCCCCCAGCGCTTAATGGCTCCTCTTCCACAACTCACGGTCTCTTGCCCTAAAGACTCCCTTTCAGCTGGTGAGATGAGTGCTAGCGTCTCTGCCAACCCACCTAGTGAGCCCTGCTGGACAGGCCAGGATGACACTGATGGGCCTGAATACTTGGCCATTGGGAATCTGGGCAGGCAGAGTCGGGCCGGCAGCAGCCCAAGCGAAGCCAGCACAGGCACCACCAACAGCATTGGGAGCAGCACCTCCAATCTGTTCTCATCCAGTAGCTCTCAGAAACGAGAGTCCGTCTGCTCCTTGGGAGAGCAGAGGGCCAGCAGCAGCAGCAGCAATAGCAATCGAGGAATGAGCTTCTTGCGCAGGTCCAGCTTCTCAGAAGGACAGACAACAGCTCGACAAGGGATGCTCAGAAGGAGCCACATGCGCTCCCACTCGGACACCAGTGTGGCCTCTGGGAAGGCTCGCGGTAAGTGGCAAAAGGGATGATAGACTAAGCCTTGGCCTGTTACTACTGCGGCTCTTAAACGTAGTGGCTCCTTTTGAAAGTTGTACACAGATCACCATTGTTCCTTTTCTCCCACTCAGCCACCAGCTGTTTTCCCACAGCTGGCAATGTGCACTTGGAGAGAATAAAGGATTGTGAAGGTTCCCAGTATAAATGGAAAGATTTATCTCTGCTCTGCTCGTAGACACTTTGAGATCATTCACACATCTGTCATGAAACTAATTTCTTGACTCCTGCTCTGTATTGTGTGTGGTATAGGAGCTAATCTAGGTTAGGGTCGTCACATATGTCACACTGACAGATTGCCCATATCTCTTAAGCAGGAGTGTGGCTGCAGTCCCTGTGGGGTTATCTGTCATGGATGATGAGCTGGACTAAAACCAGTGGTGGGTGTGACTAAAGGGAAAATTACACCCTTCCTCCCTCCTCCCTCCCTCCCTCCCTCCCTCTTTCCTTTCTCCTGGTTCATCACGTTCCCGATGAGCTGGACTAAAACCAGTGGTGGGTGCGACCAAAGGGAAAATTCAGGGGCTACGTCCAGCCCACCTTGCTGTTTTATCTGGCCCATTCCCTTCAGCCCATGCCCGTGTGTAGGGGGGCGGGCAGGGGGCGTGCATGTATGCAGAGGTCAGTGCGGGCAGGTATGTGGGCGGGTGCAAGTTCCTGTGGCCCTCAAAAATAATACTCCAGCCCACCTTGCTGTTTTATCTGGCCCATTCCCTTCGGCCCATGCCTATATGTGCGTGGGTGGGCAGGGTGCGTGCGTGCATGCAAAGGTCAGTGCGGGCAGGTGTATGGGCGGGTGCAAGTTCCTTTGGCCCTCAAAAATAATATGATGTGGCCCTCACTCTCAAACGTTTGGAGCCCCGTACCTTTGATGGATTTACGACATTTGCTTGCTGTTTTATCTGGCCCATTCCCTTCGGCCCATGCCTATATGTGCGTGGGTGGGCAGGGTGCGTGCGTGCATGCAAAGGTCAGTGCGGGCAGGTGTATGGGCGGGTGCAAGTTCCTTTGGCCCTCAAAAATAATATGATGTGGCCCTCACTCTCAAACGTTTGGAGCCCCGTACCTTTGATGGATTTACGACATTTGCTAAAGGTCTGAACAGATTCTTTTCAGAGGATGTCTGCAGTTGGGTCAAAGTATGTGGTAGGTTGTTGTCTCATGCTCTAAAGCCCCTTTACTCAAATGCCTGTAAGAGGAGCTTGACCTCCTCCTGCACTGGAGGCCATCCCTTGTGTCATGCATCTGCCAACTGCAGCACTTATAGGATCACGTGTCATGGGCACCACGTTGCTTTAAGATATCCTGCAAGAGCTTTCTGCAGGCTCTTCAGAAAGCAGTAGTGAAACTCAACCCATCAGTAGTCAGTGCAGGTGGTAGAGGAGAAAAAGCCCATGATAACTGGAGCACGGGTGTAGCAGAGGTCTTGATGAAGAACTCATAAGGCCTGGTATGGCACATGGGCACTCCTTTTAAAGAAACATGTAAAGATTTGAGGAGTTTGCCTAAACAGAGAGTGGTGTGGGCAATGCTGAGAACTTTCTGTGGTCTTCCAAGGATGAGCAATGACGGTGTCCCTGGGGGAGCTGCAGGGGGGAGGGGGGAACACATGCAGAACTCCACTTTGGTAAGTAACTCTCCTCTTTCTCTTTCCTCTCCTTTAAAACTCCCATTTTCTGCTTGACTGCCTATAACTTTAGGAGGGCACAGAAACATCAGCATTATAATGGAAGATCCTGTAGCAGGTTTGGGACCCAGCATGTTGCAAACCACACATACCCTAAACCCAACATTGTTATTGGTTGTTGCATTGCCGTCGCTGCCTTTCTTTACAGTCTGGTGTCAACCTCAAAAGCTTTTGAGAAACAGCATGTTGAGGATTTTGAACTGGCCTAGAGTTTGTGGTTGGGTCGCTGTCTTCAAGGTTAGCACAGGGTCAGAGAAGATCTCCTTGTCTGGCTTGAGCAGCAGTAAGAGTGAGATTCTTATCTGGACTTTGTACAAAGCCTTGGCTTCTGACTTCCTTTCCTTGGAGAGTGGCACTACTCAGTGTAAGGATTCTTCTGGAAAAGAGGAAAAGGACCGGACAGGTACTGGTGAGATGTTGTATATTTCTCCTCTTTCTCTTTCCTCTCCTTTAAAACTCCCATTTTCTGCTTGACTGCCTATAACTTTAGGAGGGCACAGAAACATCAGCATTATAATGGAAGATCCTGTAGCAGGTTTGGGACCCAGCATGTTGCAAACCACACATACCCTAAACCCAACATTGTTATTGGTTGTTGCATTGCCGTCGCTGCCTTTCTTTACAGTCTGGTGTCAACCTCAAAAGCTTTTGAGAAACAGCATGTTGAGGATTTTGAACTGGCCTAGAGTTTGTGGTTGGGTCGCTGTCTTCAAGGTTAGCACAGGGTCAGAGAAGATCTCCTTGTCTGGCTTGAGCAGCAGTAAGAGTGAGATTCTTATCTGGACTTTGTACAAAGCCTTGGCTTCTGACTTCCTTTCCTTGGAGAGTGGCGCTACTCAGTGTAAGGATCTTCTGGAAAAGAGGAAAAGGACCGGACAGGTACTGGTGAGATGTTGTATATTTTGCAAATTTAGGAGACATTTGCAGAACACTTCTTAACACAAAAAAGCAACCGCAGCTTAGCTTTGGCTCCAAGGAAATGCTCTAACCTGTGTCTGTAGGGCAGTAGTTTCCATAAAAGATACGGACCCACATTAGATCGTTCCCAATATTGGTTGTGGTGCTGGAACTGTTAATTTAGGTGGTAGTTTTGCCATGCTGGGAAAGAGCAGTGCAAGGCCCATTCTGCCTACTGTTGAGAAAAGACATTTTTAGAAATTATCTTGTTTGACACAGTGTTTTCTGTGTTGGGAAAATATGACCTGTGATTTGGGCCTGATCTTCTTAGCTAGTGGAGTTGACACCAGAGTCTCTCTTGCCTTCACCTTCTCTGGGCCTGATCTTCTTAGCTAGTGGAGTTGACACCAGAGTCTCCCTTGCCCTCACCTTCTCCATTCTTTTATTTTTATTTATTTATTTTACTGTGTTTCCCTGAAAATAAGACAGGGAAATTTTGCTCCAAAAATGCATTAGGGCTTATTTTCAGGGGATGTTTTATTTTACAGTCCAGTCATCTTCTTCTGGTTGCTGCACAAGGGTGCAGGGCAGGGTTTCACTTAACTAGGGCTTATTTTTGGGGAAGTGCTTATACTATGAGCATCCTGAAAAATCCTACTAGGGCTTATATTCGGGTTAGGTCTTATTTTCAGGGAAACAGGGTACCACTGCATGTTCTATATACATATTATCTCATACATTGGTTTCCTTCCATCCCTTTCATTTCCTTAAATACATCCTTGTTCACTTTGTACCAAGGTTACTGGGAATAAGCCACTTTCTCCATGGTTGTGAGGAAAATCTTAGTTTGGCTAAGTTGACGCTGAAAGACCGTTTACCTGGTTGTGGTGCTCAACTGCGTCTCAAGTGGAAGTTCTGTTTGGCTTTCTCAGGCCCAACCCAGAAGCACAACTTGTGACACTGTCTCTAGACCAGTGTGTTGGACCATTTTACCTGGTTGTGGTGCTCAACTGCGTCTTGAGTGGAAGTTCTGTTTGGCTTTCTCAGACCCAACCCGGCGGCACAACTTGTGACACTGTCTCTAGACCACTGTGTTGGACCATCTCCTGTTTGAACCTCATGCATGATTTTCACCCACCTGAAAGCGTGCTCCACACACAGCCTCTGTTTTTGCCGTTGTTTCTTCTGATTCCCATTCGTCCGTACGATCCTGTTCCTTTCTTTATATTGGCTTCTTCTTTTTTCATGGTGCCTCATTATGCCCCAACCATTTCTGAGGATGTTCTGATGAAGACTGATTCTGATCAAGGTCCTTGACTAACCTCTTTGTTTTCGATATTATCCTAGAATCCACTGGAGATGTTTCCGGGTGCAAAGGCAACATATCCCGCTCGGCACAGAGTGGCCGAGGGAACACACCTGACTCTGTCTACATGGAATATGGTGAGTAAGGTAAAACAGTGTCTCCCTTGTTTCACAGCTCTACTTGGGAGCTGGAGCTCAAGAGGCCAGCTGTTGTAGACTCTCCGTCAAGCTTTTTGCTAAAGGTTGTGGCTCTTCTCCCCACCCAGTCAGGATCTGAGCTGTCGTACATCAGAGGTTCCTAATCACCCGTGAAACACTTAACGTAGTCTAGGTGGGGTACGGGGTTGCTAAGAGTTCTGTCTCCTTATTCTATTGCAGTTTTAATATTCCATCACTTACTTGGCCCTTTTTGATATAGAGTGTTGATCTGTGAACTTCAGATAAGCCAGTCTGTGGTAGAGTAAGGCCTTTCACAACAGTATTGGCTTCTGCTGCCATGGTTCTGATTCTCCAAATCTCATAAAGCTGGCTTTTGAGGAAGTGCTTAGGATTTGAAGAATTTCCTTCCCTCCCCCATGCCCTTTTTCTTTCCCCCATTCAGATACTGGGCAGTATCTACACTCTGGAGAAGGAATGTTTCGGAGGCCCTCCGAAGGCCAGTCTCTGATCAGTTACTTGTCAGAGCAAGATTTTGGCAGCTGTGCAGACTTGGAAAAGGTAAGTGTAGAAAAGAGCGAAACCTTGGACAAGTGTGCTGACCTATAGCAGGAAGCAGCATGACAAAAAGCAAGGACGGAGCATGAAAAGAGGTTCACCAAACACGGACAGCTTCCCGGAGATTCCTTCTCAGGAAGATTTCTTTCCATATTAAAATGAGGCTTTGCACTCTCAAGTCAGTCAGATTCCATGTTGCCCATAAAAGTGTATGCTCCAAATGGCTACCAGACTGGCACCTTAATACTAAGATTCATATTACATTTTCATTTTTTAAAAAACCCAGAATTTTTATGCACGGGTCACATTGGCCACGTTTTACCCAAACTATGGTACATTAGTATTTCATTTCAGAGTTATAGTTGGAAAAATCATTTTAGGGCTAACTATGAGCTAGACCATAAAATGCCCCCCACCCCCGCTGCAAAAGCTGTAGTGAACATGTGCTGATCTTGAAAAAGCCCAACCGGTTGTGGTGGGCCTTCATCACCTGGACTGAATGTATGCAGGTGAACATGTAGGGAGGAAAATTAGCATCCTCGAGAACATAGGTTTCCAATTCAAAACGATGGTGTTCTGTTCCGAAGAAACAACAGATCAACAGACTTCATTTTGGCACAAGCTACCATGATCCACAAGCAGTTACAGCAAATAAAACTTGCTGGAATGTAAAACTCTTGGTTGTTTTCAGCTGCATGGAATGTAAATTGCATTTCTCCTTGTAATTTCCAGGAGAAGAGCAGTGATTAGTGATTATGAGCCACCCATCTGGAAGCAGTCTCATTTCTACGATATTGCTATGAGGCCATCCCTACACAATCTCACATGTTGCTTGTTGTTTGGGTGTCAGATGGAAAGAGAAAGGGAAGGAGCAGAGAACCTAGTTTCCTGGGCTATTGCAGCCAGGGATAGAAGAGATGCAGGGTTTGTGAACCCAGTCTTGTTGAAAAGGAAGGCAACTTATCTCAGCCAAGATTCATGCTCAAGACTTATGCCCCCAACATAGCGGGCCAGAACATTAATTTGTTTGGGAGAGTGAAGCGATGTTATGAAAGACTATTGAAGGAGTAACCAAGATGCCACTTTATTAACTCCTTGCCCTGTTTCTCTGGGAAAAGTCTCTCTTTCTCCATTTCTTCACTGTACTGCTCCAATCTTTCTTCCCTTCCTCCAGGAAAACGCTCACTTCAGCATCTGTGAGTCCCTCATTGCTGCCATTGAGCTGATGAAGTGCAACATGATGAGCCGGCAATGGGAAGAGGAGGAGGAAGACAGTGACAAGGAGATCCAGGAGCTTAAGCAGAAGATCCGTCTCCGGCGACTACAGATCAGGACCCGCCACCTCCACCCCAGTTACCTCGGCTCAGACAGTGAGTGCCTCCTTCCCTCCCTCCCTCCCTCCCTGCTGTGTGAGAGGCAGTCTTGATTTCACTATTTTGCCTCCAGGACGAGAGAGCCTCCCTCCCTCCCTCCCTCCCTCTGCTGTGTGAGAGGCAGTCTTGATTTAACTATTTTGCCCTTAGGATGAGGGAAGTGTCTCCCTGGAAGTTTATCTTATTAGGGATCCCTGAGGCTGTACATTTATAACAATCACCCAAGAGCACCTGCTAGACATTGATGTCCATTCTTGCCTGACAGGCCACCTCTTAGGTCAAGGAAAGGGTAAAGTAAAAGGTAAAGGCTCCCCTTGACATTGAGTCCAGTTGTGTCCTACTCTAGGGCGCGGTGGTCATCCCCGTTTCCAAGCCATAGAGCCAGCGTTTATCCGAAGACCATTTCCGTGGTCACGTGGCTAGCGCGACTAGATACGGAACGCCGTGACCTTCCCACCGTGGTAGTGCCTATTTATTGACGTGCATTTTTACATGCTTTCAAACTGCTAGGTTGCCAGGAGCTGGGACAGTGACAGGAGCTCCCTCCCTCGTGTTGTTTTGATTTTCTGACTTTGCAGGAAACTGCTAGGTTGCCAGGAGCTGGGACAATGACAGGAGCTCCCTCCCTCGCGTGGTTTTGATTTTCTGACCTTGCAGGACAGAGGCTTCTGCAGTTTAACCTGCAGTGCCACCACGTCCCCAAGGAAAGGGTATTTGGGGTCAATTAATAAAGGATTAGACAGCTGTTGGTCCATGGGCTGGTCTGTCAGTGGGAAGGGAGCAGTCGGTCGGCAGAGGGGGTGGAGGTTCCCCTCCCCCCTGGCACAAACCTGAAAAAGCAAACTGCGAACCAGTTCATTTTTCCATTTCCCCCCGTTTTGTGCCCATCTCTTAATAATAGCTAAAAAGATGCGAAGGGAGTGAAAGGGTCGTCCTATACCTACAAATGTGTTCTGGAAAGGAGGAATCAGCTGACGAGAAGCTGAAGACTCTCTAGGAATCGTCCAAGAACTTTGGAGCCAGCCCTGTAAAGTGTCCTCAGCTCTGTCCTCTAGTCATTCCTATGTACTGATTGGGGAACTTTCATTGGCATATATTTCTTATTCCACCGCCCTTCTAGGCCTCTTGGCAACAGACAGCGGGTCCCATTTCAGTTCCCGAGACTCAACGTGCTTGTCTGACTCAGGTTCTGCAGAAGAAGTGGATGAGTATCTTCTGCAGGGTAAGAGTTGGAATTGCTGGGTACATCCTGTGTTTTTCTTTTTGTTATTCAAACTGGAAAAAAAACGGCTTTATACAGACACTGTGGGCTTGTCTAGACAAGTGTTTTTCAGCCGTGGGTCCCCAGATGTTCTTGGACTCTGAACTCCCAGAAACCTTCACTGCTCGCTGTCCTGACCAGTATTTCTGGGAGTTGGAGTCCAAGAATGTCCAGGGACCCAAGGTTGGGAACCGCTGGCTCTAGACCAGTTAGTTCTCTTCCCTCTATTTGCCAGCTGTTCTCCAACATCTTGGAAACAATGGCTTCCCAACCGTCTTCACTAATTCTAGTAATTGGGAAATCTAGGATCTGCATACTACACATGCATATGGTGGTTGATTTCTATGAATAACAGTAAGATCTAACACATGCTGTGGATGCGCACCTGAGTGTAGGCCCCAGAATAGGTGCGATTCCCAGGGATTCCTGGTGAGAATAATGGAGAGGGAAAGGCTTCCCTGAAGATGCAAAGCTTTGAAAACCATGGGTTTCATTTCCAAGGACTTTGATCACTGGCGGGTGGGGTCTTGCCGGTCCTCACTCTTGTTGTGCTTAGACCTTGTCCTCCCCCTCCACTCCTCCTCCTGCTGACATGCGATATTTTGTCATCACCGTATCATGCAGATGGTAACGATGGATCTAACCTGATTCAAATGTCCAAGAATGGCCTGTCGGTCTCAATGGCTTCCTTGTTTTCAGGTAGATACCCCACTCCCAAGCCTCACCTGTCTCCATGTCAGCTAGTCTGTGTGTTCCTGCAGGCACAACGAGTTCGGTCACCCTTGGGATGGACTGCATGGGACTCCAGGGCTTTCCTGTAGGGTTCCTGTTTTACAGAGTTCCCTTGTTTTAAATCCTTACGTTACGGTAAATGTAGACAATCCCACAAGACAGCCGGAAGCTGAACATGGTTTCAGTCTCAGCTGCCACAAAGCATCTCAAGTGACTCTTCCAAAAGAGTGTAGTGTCCCTTCGAAAGGGCTGCTGTGTTCCAGCCTTGCTATCCATAGGTAGTGTGCATAAATTCAAGAAGGCCCAGTTGAGTTCTTGTCAAGGTAATCACAGCCATTACTTCTAGCAGAAGGCAGAGTCAAGTTTTTCATGGCTCATGTCAGCTATCTCCTTCCGTTGCTCAGGGTCAGAAGCTTTTTAGGTGTGGATAAAAACGGTCCAGCTGGCTTATGCTGAGGTGAGATCCGTGTCATTCAGAATTGTGTCCCTTTCAGTGGACAGCCACATGCCTCTGGCAATGAGCAGGCAGAGAGAGTGGTGGAATAAATACCTCTGGAGGTGGATGAAGTTTGCTTACACGTGGCAATTTCCCATCATGAATGTCCTTGAGTGTAAGGCCCAGATTGTAGGGTATGTTGGAGGGGGAAATTCATCTCTCTCAAGTATCTGTTCCTTAAGTACAGTACTTTTTCTTAAGTATCTGCTTCCTTAAAATGCATAGTGGCCTGACATAACTCAAAAGAAGACCCACCCTTCTTAGCAGCCAATGCCGTTATGCCCAGTACTTTCTTGGTGTTAAACCTGTTCTTGGGCTATACAACCTCAGCCAATGTGCCAGAATATTCTTCAGTTCCAGAAAAAGTAGCCGTTCCATCCAGGTATAAATCTGCCTTGTCATGAAGAAAGGTAGTGCCTTCTTTCCTGACATGGTCGTTTCTGCATAAAAGTGGGAGCGTGGCAGTTTGTTTTTGACAGAGCTACATCACTGTGTTCATGTCATTTAGTCTGTGTGTCACTTGCACCTTTTCCCCCATTGGAAGTCCAGGGGCAGTCCGGCCTCTCTGGAAAAAGCTCCATGGAGATCCCATGGACACACCCTTTGTGGTCTCGGAAGGAGAAGGGCAAAGATCACCAGCTTCAGATAGTTTGGCCAATTCATGGTGACCTTTTCAGTTTCTTTCTTGTACCTGATCTCTGGCCACCAACTAGTTGATGACGGTTTGCAGAGGGAAGTTGGGGGGGGGGGAAGGAGGCCACAATAAGATCCTTATCTTGCAGCAGGTGCAAGCAAGGAGGGGGCTTGTTTGTTTATTATAAAGATTTACTGCCACCTCCTTTCCATGTGTTGTGAGGCTGACAAGAGGAATAGCTGCCAAGAAATAAGACAGGGACAGACCTATTGGGGAGAATGAGAAGCAAAATGTCATTAAAAAGCAAAAAAGAAACATCACAAAAAGTGGGATTAAAAGAACAGAGCAGATAAAATATTGTCCATAGGAACAGTCGTGAGATCATTAAAAAATAGTCTTACTGGGCAAAGGCCTATCTAAGGAAGGTTTTCACGTAACAAGTGGAAAGTCACTACTGAGAGGTTGCACAATCCACGCTAGAGGATGGTTCCACACATTGCATGAACCTGTTTGGGAGATTTCTGTTTTGCTCCATCCAATCCCTCATTTATAAGTCCCTTCTCTCTTTGCAGTCCACCCAAGGCCCAAACACAGGGATCTTAAATAACTGGCAGGCTGTGACACTTGGCTTGCATAGTGATCCAGACTTGCCTATGTTTGAACTATTTTCTCTTCTGCGGAGTGACTAAACCTTTTTACTAACACCTTGTGACTAACTTCTGTTCCCATGCATGTGTTTGAGTAGCAGCGAGTGACTTAAGCTCCTGTGTGGCTTGTAAGCTTTCTGTCCTAACCCCATGGTAGTCTTATTGGTTCCCTGTGTTTCTAAGTCTCTTTGGTGCGCGGCCCAGGCTAGGACAAGACACTTGTGGCTAGCATCGCTTTTAGCCCCTGAAAAATTGGTGTGCAAAGTCAAGGACAAGATCAAATTGATGGTCCATTTAGTTCAACCTCCTGAGTGATCATCCTCAGCCGGATTCCCTCTGGAGGGCTGGGGAGGAGCTTTCACTGATATCTTTGGGGAAAGGGACCAAACACCTCTTGCTGCCTGTTCCCAGCCCCCAGTTGAAGGACCTAATAGACAGTCCTTTGTTATGAAATAACTTAATTTCAGTGGGAGGGGTCATGTTAAGAATTGCTCAGAGGATCGTACTGCTCAGGTCAGAAGCAGGATGAGCTAAGCTCCCCTTCTTTCCGGGTCTGTTTCAGTCTTTCTGCCTGGCAACCTTTCCTGCAATATGTCATTTCTTGATGGCAACAGAGGAGGCCTGCTAGGAAGCAGTGGCTCACATGTCCTGTCCAACCAGCCTGTATTGTGGTGGAGCGGCTCAAATCAGATTGGGTTGAGGACCGGGTATTGCCTATCCTGATGCAACTCAGCCAGCCATTCCTCATGTGTGGCCTCCAACTTTAGACAGCCTGCTTTAAATATTGAACAATACTCATTAACATCATTATTTGAGGCAGTGATCGTAGGTGCTGCTGAAAGTGGACCAGTTTTACAAAGAGTTAGAGCTCATGCTCTCCATGAAGCCTTGCCCTGCAATCCAGTGCCATCCCCTTTCTGGCTGTAGATCAGTTCCTTGTGCAGACATGTCTGTCTCACACAATTATCGCCGTATCTAATTTCTCTTCCCTTGTTCCTGGCATGTTGTGTCCTAGATGCAGACATCAAGAAGAATGTGGCCCCCAACAAGAGGTCTTTCCGTGCATCTGGTTGCACGTAAGTATCTGCGCTGAAGCACAGAAATGGCGCCATACACTGGTCCTCCTGTATGATGGGCAAAATGCAGAGAAGAGTTAGGCTGGAAGGAGTGTTGGCTGTGGGAGAAATGGATTGATTTACCGTATTTTTTCTGTGTATAAGACGGTACTTTTATCTAAAATTGTTAGACTAAAAATTGAGGCTTGTCTTACACATGGAAGTAGGGGGGAAGGGATCAAAGCATTGCAGGATCGCAGCCCTTTGATCCTGCAGCCCTGTGGGGCTTAGGAAGTGGAGAGGGAAAGCAGCCATGAAAGGGCTGAGATCCTATAGCCCTTTCTTGGCTGCTTTCCCCCTCTACTTCCTAAGCCTTTTGATTCCTGCTTTTGCAGGGCTTAGGAAATGGAGGGGGAAAGCAGTGATCACATTTTCTAATTTGGGGTTAGAAAAGTGGGGGTCGTCTTATACACAGAAAAAAATACAGTAATTAAGATACAGATAGAATTCACCTGCAAGTCATATACAGTGGTGCCTCACTTAACGAGCACACCGTTTAACGACGAATCTGCGTAGCAATGCGGATTTTACGATCGTTTTTACGATCGCATTGCGATGTTTTAATAGGTAAAACATCGCATTGCAATGATCAGTAAGCGTTTCGCTTACTGATTTTCGCATTGCGATGTTTTAGAAACAGCTGATCGGCGTTTCCAGAATGGCCGCCGGATGAAGAAAATGGGCGCCCGCAGCGTTTTCATGCCGATTCCTCGCTTACCGAGGCAGTGAAAATGGCGGCCCTATGGAGGATTCCCGCTTAGCGGTGAGTTTACCCCCCATAGGAATGCATTAAACGGAGTTTAATGCGTTCCTAAGGGGTTTTCATTTCCGTATAGCGATGTTTCCGGTTAGCGACGTTCTTCCTGGAACGGATTAACGTCGGTATGCGGGGCACCACTGTATCTGATAGGGAGAAGGGCCCAGGAAGCGGGCAGGATCTGAAGAGTGATAAAGAACCTGAGGCTGCATTTGGTTTTCCTTAAGGATAGGCTGAGGCCCATTAGATTTAAGGCACAAGGCTGGTGACTGCTAACAACTGGAAAGCAGCCAGTGTTAAGATTATTTATAGAGAGGCAGTAAAACTGAGGAATTAATTCAATTAAGTGGAATTGGGCTTTATTTTGGAAGAGTGGGTAGGCAACCTACAGCGCTCACTATACACCTTGCCTAAGCCTAGTTTTCTTCAAGGAGGAAGTTAATTGTTCTAGCAAAAGTGAGCTGTTCATCCCCTGGGTATTCCCTGGGAGGGGGTGGAGGAGAGTCAGGGTGGGGCTGGCATGGAAAGGGGAAAGGAGGAGGAGGAGGAAGGTCCTGCCTGTTAACCAGTTCCAGTTCTGCTTTCCTTCAGCACATAGCCCCCAGTCCAAAAAGGCATTTGCCTCTTTGTTTAGTTATTTATGTGCTGCCTTTCTCCTCATAAAAGGGCCCAAAGCAGCTTGAAATCAACAACAATAGCAAAAACACACGAAACTCATTTCTATCCATTGCAGCAGAAGATGAGAATTAGAAGGTTAACCCCAAGGTGCCACGAAGAAGGTAGAAGAGTAGACCCTTGGTCTAGATGGGGGGAATAGAAGCCGAAATGAATGAATGAATGAATAAAATTGGATGGGAATGCCAGAGAGAGAGAGAGAGAGCCCACCTCCAAAGCAGCTCCAGCTGTTTTGCTTCCTTACCAATTTCTGCCCCCCTTTTTCCCCCCACCAGCTTCCACTCCTTCCTCAGCTCCAACTCGGCCGAGGCTGTGGCGATGGGCCTGCTGAAGCAGTTTGAAGGGATGCAGCTCCCTGCGGCGTCGGAACTGGAGTGGCTCGTGCCGGAGCACGACGCCCCACAGAAGGTAGGATTTCTGCAAGGGCAACTTGGGCCTCCTAGACCAACCCCCAGATGGTTTGGTGCTGGGAGTGGCCGCTGTGGAGTGGCGGCCAAGGGTTTGTTCGCTGATCTTGGAAACAAGTCACCAAAGCTTAAGGTAGCAGCATCTCATGGTCCAGCCGATGGGAAGGTAATCTTCTCAGGTTACCTTGGCTTGACGGGGATGGGTTGTCCTCTGCGGTACCTGACAGCAAGAGACTTCATGTTAGAAACATGGGCAAGGTGATGCAGCATTATGGTGAGAGGTGCTAGTCATGGAGGAGGAGGTGTATGAGAAGGAATGGGAATCTTTTGGGTGACTTTTATGCTCAAGCCCTGGTGAAATGGACAGGAGCTGCCGAGAAGTACTTTCTGGGCTGTGATCTCCTCTTCTGGCTTGTGTCCAGAGCTTGCTGCTGGATGGAGCCCATTTAAGCCTCAGCCGGAGTTTGCCTCATCTTGCCTCGGATAAGACCCGCCTCTGTTCAATTGTCCTCTTAACTAAGGGACAGCGATGGGCTGCTGTGACGGCTTCCTTTTTTTCTCTTTCTGGGGTTCTGTCCCATCAGTTCACTCTCCTCTGTGAGGTGGGAGTTAACCTGGGCTGTGAGGGATGGCAGTGGCATTTTTAACCCGTCGCTCTGTGCTCTCCCACATAAGCTCAGGAGTAAAAGATGCTGAGAACCGTGCAGGGGAATGGCTCCCTGAAACCGTTCTGTCCATAGCAGTGGGATAGCCTGTCTCATCCAGTGCCTCTGTAGCCGTTTCTCTTCCCTGCATCTTTTACGCCTTGGAGCCACCCTGATGGGCCATTTGCTGTTTGTTTTCAGGGACCAAGATTCTCTCTTAAAAAGCTTTTTAAGCGACCCAAGTGGTATAAGAAAAGACAGCTTTCCAAAAAGCTGCTCCTGGTATGTCCCAAAGAGGGGAGTGTGCCTAGGGAGTGTTTTGTGTTTCTGTGTGTGCTTAACAGCCTTGATGAACCACCCATCTGAGGGGCCGGGGGTGCACCCCCTGTGCGAAGCTTGTCGTTTTGCAGTGTCGGTTGAGCTCAGATGCAAAAATTAGGAGGAAACAAGAGTGGCAACTTGAGCTGTTAACCCCTGAAATCAAAAGGCCGCTGACTGTAAATCGCGCAAGTTAATTGTCCTGCAGATGTGTGTGTTCAGGTGGCATGCTTTGGGCTGCACCCCAGATTCAAGAGGAATTGGGCTGGGTTCCACAGCTCTTGGATAAGATCTCTCTGATATCTTTGTAGGTCTTGTGGCGCTAGCCCATGACAGGCTACAAAGACAGTGTTTAATCCTCAGATGCACTGAAATCTTGGGTTAGTTTTTAAACAAAATTACTGTATTTTTCAGTGTACAAGATGCCCCATGTATAAGATGCCCCCACTTTTCTAATCCAAAATTAAGAAAAATAAGTGAGGCTTATCAAGTGTAGGGGGAAAGGGATCAAAGCGCTGCAGGATCACTTTGATCCCTGCTTTCCCCTCCACTTGTTTTTGTTCTTCTCTCAGCTTCCGTGTATAAGACGACACTCAATTTTTAGTCTAAAGATTTTTGACAAAAGTATAGTCTTATACATGGAAAAATACAGTATTTCCAGCTCTTACGGCCACACAAGCAAGGATGGAAGCATATATGCTTTGCTTCGCAAAATGTCAGGGATTGAGATATTAGGGGAGAGAACATTCCCTCTGATTCTTGCTAGTGTTGTGTAGGGCCTCTGTTCCTCCTAACCCCCTCCCGGACAGTTACAATGGGAGCCGGAAATAAACAGGCAGTAACATCTGGCTGCGTGGGATCCATGCAATGCTGCACGCAGAACTCAGAGGGAACATGGCTAGGTGGGCAGCAGATACGGAAGGTGCATTGGCTGAGGTTAAGAAAATGGAACAGCCCTGACGGTGTGCGTGGATGGGGTGTAGGTGCCAGCTCAAAGCTGTTGCTCTGCGTTGTTAGAGAGGACCACACCTTTTAACAACCTATAGCATGGAAGCGTGGGCAGTGTGGCAAATGGGTCTCGCAAGCATCCCCCCCACCCCCTTGGCAGCTAATTATTCTCATATACCTTGGTCTTGCAACTCAGTCCTGCCTTGTGCGAGGGTCACTCTGCGGGTTGCATTTTCTGCAGATGTGAATGGATTTCCACCTAAAGGTGGGCTCTGCTTGCTGTGCTAACGGCTGAGTTCAAAGGCCACATTGCCACTTGGCAAATGAAATCTAACCCAGAGTAACCCCAGCTGCAGCGGCTTGGCAGATATTCCTGGGTTTTGACTGCTTTACTGTCTGTGACCTCCTTTCCAGTTCATGCACCATATTATGGGCATTGTCTCCTTTAGTCCTCCCATTTCTGTATCCATTTTTCTAATTGGCAGTTAATTCATGGACTACTGCTATTTCATGGATAAATCCAAAAGGAGAATATCTGCCAGAAATTTCAAGGTGCCTTGTTAGGAGGTGGGATTGTAGCACTTTGGGATAAATTTTAAAAACCTTATGATGGGATTCAAACGTAGAGAGTAATGATTGTGGAATAACCATTAGGCTACTGCAGGGTTTCCCATGCAGCCCTCAAGCAGCAGCAATTCAGTGTTAAACAGTATCTCTCTCTTGTTGTCTCTGCACCTTTTTGGAGGGTTTGGGATGGGGAAGAAGAGTTGTGATGAGGATGAGAGTCAACCTCTAAGCCATCCTTTCTCTAGAACAGAATGGTCCACCATTGCATTGTGCCTTGACATTGTCACTGTCATGTTCTCCCCCACTCTTTCAGCTGTTGCCAATTCCAGATTCAGTACCTATCTCTCCTGATGACGGGGAACATGCAGATATCTACAAACTTCGCATCCGAGTCCGTGGAAACCTAGAATGGGCACCACCGCGGCCACAGATCATCTTCAATGTTCATCCAGCACCCACGTAAGGAACCAAGTTGTTTCAAGCCTGCAGTGTTTTGCGTGTGTCTCCTCCTTTTATCTCTGTGTACATTTGAACTCCTGCCAGATTTCCTGCACAACAGCAAAGGAGTTTTACTCTCCCTTCCGGAAGAATTGAGTACTTTCTGCAAGGTAGCTACAGATAGGATTCTTAAAAACATAAAGAGTTGTCTTCTCCTGAATCAGATCGATCCATCTCACTAACTATGATTTATTCCAATCTTCTCTGTGTGGGACCCTTCAGCTGTTCAAGACTATGGTTCCCACAGACTCTGTTGACTGCAAAGCTATGTACTGATTAGGGAAGTCAGCCAGCTAGTGGCTGAATATGGTATTGTAGGCACAAGCCCATGAACACATGTCAATGAATTAAAATGAATGAATGCAGGTGCACACCCCTTGTCACTGTGCACATTTCATCTGTTTTGATTTTATCATATTGAAATTGTACGGAGTGGCACACATCCCCCTTTATTATTGTTTCTCATGACTTGTATCTTAGGGAAGTCAGCCAGCTAGTGGCTGAATATGGTATTGCAGGCTGAAATCCATGAACACATGCCAATGAATTAAAATGAATGACTGCAGGTGCGCACCCCTTCTCACTGTGCACGTTTCATCTGTTTTGATTTTGTCATATTGAAATTGTTTCTCACGACTTGTATTGTTTCTCACGACTTGTATTTTTCTAGGAGGAAAGTGGCAGTACAGCCAGCTAGTGGCTGAATATGGTATTGCAGGCTGAAATCCATGAACACATGCCAATGAATTAAAATGAATGACTGCAGGTGCGCACCCCTTCTCACTGTGCACGTTTCATCTGTTTTGATTTTGTCATATTGAAATTGTTTCTCACGACTTGTATTGTTTCTCACGACTTGTATTTTTCTAGGAGGAAAGTGGCAGTAGCCAAGCAGAACTACCGCTGTGCGGGTTGTGGTATCAGGACCGACCCAGGTGAGAGGGCTGGGCTTGGCAGAGTTCTGACTGTGCCTGAAACCTGAGGGCCTTTGATTTCAGCATTGGTTGTTCTGAGTCAGCTTTGCCCCACCTGATGCTCTCCAAACGTCTCCAACTGCAATGCTAGTCATTCCCAGGTGGGGCTTTGCCTGCTGGGTATGATGACTGCTTTCGCTGACACACAGAACAAAGCTCCCTCCCTATTTGGGAAGATTGTTTTTAATCTGGACTGGAGTATGGGTGCACTTGTGTGTGTTGAGCCACTTTGTTTTTGACAGAGAAGGGGATGATCAGCTTAATTCAATGTGGTTCATGTCTTTAACACATGCCTTCCATATGTGTATAGGCATATGTGCCACCTTTTTTAGCAACGGGTGTGTGTGTCTGAGAAATGCCCCTGGCCTCGTCTCGGTCTTGTTCTTGGCACGATCTGTATCTAGGCTAAGTTCTCGATCTGCACTCTCATTCTTTCCTTCTTCCCCTCCCATGGGGGCCCCTCAGACTACATTAAGCGCCTGCGCTATTGCGAGTACCTGGGCAAGTACTTCTGCCAGTGCTGCCACGAGAACGCTCAGACGGTCATCCCCAGCCGCATCCTGCGCAAGTGGGACTTCAGCAAATATTACGTCAGCAATTTTTCTAAGGACCTGCTCAGCAAGATCTGGAGCGACCCCCTCTTCAACGTGCAGGACATCAACGCTGCCCTCTACCGAAAAATCAAGCCACTCAACCAAGTCCGGGTAAGGCAGGCCAAATCTGGAATCATCCCTGATGACCGTTTGTATACTACAGGAGGTGTAGTGGTTAGGGATACTTCCAGTGTTGCAAAAACTGCTGTTTAATGTAGGGGCTGAGAATTCTTCTTGACTCAGAATTGCAATGCCACGAGAAAGAGAAGAGACAAGAAAACTAGTTTTTCTGTAACCTGGTGTAGACCATTTTGGGAGAATGGGCATTCTGCATGCAAAGGCATGTGACTAGCATCCTATATTTTCAAATTCCTAAATGTAGGATTTTCCCCCATTGTAGCATGAACATTCTCCCCTTGGTTAGTTTACAGATTTTGCATTAGCATGTATAAACCCTATTACCCGGTTTCCCGGAAAATAAGACCTAACCTGAAAATAAGCCCTAATAGGATTTTTCAGGATGCTCGTCATATAAGCCCTACCCCCCCCAAAAAAAATAAGCCCTAGTTTAATGAAACCCCGCCCTCCTCCCTTGTGCAGCAACCAGAAGATGGCATGACTATATTTGAATAAATGTAGATGGTTGTACATGAAAAAAATCAAACATCCCCTGAAAATAAGCCCTAATATGTTTTTGGAGCAAAAATTAATATAAGACCATGTCTTATTTTTGGGGAAACATGGTAGTCATGCATCACTGATCATATCTGGATTCCTTATCTGGCTGGTACAACTGACCTCTGACTTCTGTCTTATGCTTAGGCTCCTCTCTTTGATGTCTTATCTGTAACCTGTCCCATGTCACCTCACACATGTTTTCTTTAATTCTTTTAACAACACATGTAATACGTTCCTTCCCTTATGGGAATAAAGGTTAGGGTTTGATGCTCATAAGTTTCTCAATATCTAACATGATGAGCTAGATAATACAAAATGGTACTATTTAAACTAGGCATAACTAGGCATAAATATGATTGAAAATAAATTCCCTGGCCTGTTCCTTCTGGCCTTTCATAATCTGTTACTGTAATGAAGACTTGTATTTTACTTTTGTAACCACTCATTCTGTTGAGCTGCACAAACTGGGAATCACTCTGGAGGAGGGCTGTGCAAGGGAGGTGTGTGGTTTTAAAAAGTGACTGGTCTGTGGAGATGCCTCTTCTGAATGGAGGTTTTGCTTCCTTGCGGTTGTTTTCCCCAGCTGTTGAGAATCCAGCTGTACCACATGAAGAACATGTTCAAGACTTGCCGCTTTGCTAAAGGGTAAGGATGATGTGCACTAATGTATACAGGTTTAAAAGCACGACACAGGACCTTGTTCTTGCCATGACAACAGATTCCAAGCCGCCGTGGGGCTGGCAACGTTTTCATCCCTCTTGAGCTATGGGTGGTGGGCAGTCTCCCTACTTCTCTGCTTTCAGTTCTTTCATCGGTACACAACTGTGAGAATCAGGCAGGCATCTTAAATAGATAGATCCTGACCCCACTTCACCCCATCCCTACCACAAAGGAAAGGAAAAATGTCATTTATGGGCAGGCCTTGCTTTGGGTGAGTAGCCTACATCCTCTGGATATAAATAGATAGAAATATAGATTTTCCTGGAGTGTTAGGGACAAAACAGGAGTGTTTTGCACAGGATTCTGGATGAGTGGGAAACGGCTGTTTTTGTGAAAAGGCGCAATGGGAAGGCAGCACGCTGAGCATGACTGACAGAGTGCCTCTGTGGAATATCCTGCAAATAGCCATTGTGTGTATCATGTATTGTGACAGCAGGATGAGGGTGTCTGACAAAGAGCATAAATACCTTTGTTGTGGTCCTCTTGGCTCTGGCATGGTCCGTCCTTGCAGGCTTCTGGATGTCTTTGACTCTGTGCCGGGCCACTTGACGGAAGATCTCCACCTCTACTCCTTAAATGATCTGAGCGCCACGAAGAATGGCGAGCTTGTGCCGTGCTTGACAGAGCTCCTCCGGGCAGGCACCCTGCACGTGGAGAAGTGCATGGTAGGTAACGGGCTTCTTCTCTCCCCCCCCGCTTCCTTCCTCCGTACCGTCTCTGCTTCTCCATTGGGCCAGCCGAACTAAATGTCCAGGAAGCTCCAGGCTCTTCAGGCTGGTGGGAAGAGTCACGTTGTATGCTGGGATGGTTCATCTGAGCCCTTCCCAGGGCTTTGTAGGCCTCGAGACCACTGAACGTCCTCCGGATGCATCACTGGCTGAGCCGTTTTAAGATGTTGCAGCCATTGGTTATGGAACATGTTCTGGCCTTCATGTCTTGAAGCCTCTCTGTCCAACATGCATGCTTAAAGCAAGGTTGAGGCTTCTCACTCTCTGCCGCAACCAGCACAGAACTCTAGGAATGGTGGTTAGAGCGATACAGATTCAATTTATTTTAGACACACGTCCCAAGCTATGGAAGAAAGTTGGGGGAAGGGAGGCCCTATCAGTCCATTGTGCTTCTGTGAGTTGCATAAGGCAAGGCAGGGGTCCTGATTGTCACCAATTCCCCTCTAAACATGGTGCCCCCGACATAACTGCCTCTGAAGTTTTTGGGGGACCCTCCTGAATAATGGGGAGGTGGTATGGAGGACTACAGGAGGTGGGTGGAAGTGGCAGGAATGAATGGCCCTGGCTGGCATGCTTGAAAATGTTTCAGCTTATTCATATCCATTGGCTACTCCCCTATTCTGCTTAGCATATATAATGTATATCACAGGCTGGAATCCTGTTATGTTGCTTAGTCCTGCTGTCCTGGTGACTTCCTGCACTTCAGGTTCCCCTGTGCCCTCTCCAGTTGAGAAATGCCTGGCCCAGGCAAAGCCCCAGTTGAGCCAGGGAGAGCAAATCAAGGAAGATTCTTCAACCCACCCACCCAGGAAAGGTCACTGGGAGACGCTGATGCAGGCTGGAAGTCCTGCTGTCATCTGGGCTCATGGTGAAGGGAGGGAAAAGAAACATTTCCTTGGAATCTTTTCCTCTTTTTGGAGGGCAAGCGAGAGGCAGGGAAGGAGTCCCTTGTACCAGCAAATTGGCAGAGAGCGGTCTCTCTACTGTGAGCCGGTGAGGCGCAAGAGCGAGAGAGGCTTGTCCCCTAGGGCAGTGGTCCCCAACTTTGGGCCTCCAGAGGTTCTTGGACTGTGACTCCCAGAAATCCTGGCCAGTAGAGGTGGTGGTGAAGGCTTCTGGGAGTTGTAGTCCTAAAACCTCTGGAGGCCCAAGGTTGGGGAACCACTGCCCTAGGGCAGGATGCCGGCCTACTCTCATTCTGGACGAGGGGCCCGTGAGGGCATCTGCCGCTTTCACCATCCTCCCCTCCCTCACTCTCCTTTGCTCCTTGGTTTTCCCAGTTGTGCCAAGCCAAGGGCTTCATCTGCGAGTTCTGCCAGAACGAGGAGGACATCATCTTCCCCTTCGAGCTGAATAAGTGCAGGACGTGTGAAGGTAAGCTAGCAAACAAGGAGCCTGCTGACTAGGTGCTAAGACATCTGGATTGATGGCAGAAGGAGAATAATGACATTTTTAGGTGAGTTTTGGAAAAAAGTGGCAGAGGAAGCGAGTGTCAGTTGTGGTGTAAAACAAGCAAAAACCAGAAGTCTAGCTAGCCTAGTGTTCTCCTTCCATCTGTGTCCAGGAAAGGGCTTCTAGGAAGTGCACTCAGTTCTGGCCTTCATGTCTGTCCGTGCCATTACCGTATTTTTCTGTGTATAAGACATCCCACACTTTTCTAACCCCAAATTAAGAAATCTAAGTGGGGCTTAGCAAATGTAGGGTAAAAAGGATCAAAGTGCTGCAGGATGGCTTTGATCCCTGCTTTCTCCCTTTGTGCTAAGCCCTGTGTGGCTTAGCAAAAGGAGGGGGAAAGGCATCAAAGCAATTCCACGGCTGCACGATCATTTTGATCCCTTTCCCCCTTATACAGCCATGGGATTGCTTTGATCCTTTCCCCCCTCCTTTTGCTAAGTCCCATGGCACTTAGCAAGCAGAGGGGAAAGCAGGGATCAAAGCAATCCTTCAGCACTTTGATCCCTGCTTTCCTTTTGCTAAGGCTTAGCAAGTGGAGGGGAAAGCAGGGATCAAAGCACTGTTGGATTGATCACTTTGATCCCTGTTTTCTCCTTCACTTGTTTTTTTCTCCTCAGCTTACTTTCATGTATAAGACAACCTCAATTTTTAGTCTAAAGATTTTAGACAAAAGTATAGTCTTATACACAGAAAAATACAGTACATAGAGATATACAGCCTCTCTTAATAGGGTCACGGCTTATCCCTGGGAAGGTTGGCATGGTCTGTGTTCAGGGCGTCCCATCACAAAACTTTAAATCTTTCCCCTCAAAGGGTTATGACTTCCAAGATTCTGGGGGTGGGTGGGGTGGGGATAGCTGTTCAACTAGTTTAGTTCTGGTTGCATCGCATAGGCTCAGAGAGGAACATCTTGTTGCACTGTAGAAAATGCAGGCATAAAGGCCACAGATTTCATAAACCGTTTCTGTGACAAGATATCCCAGTATGCCTTGAGCATCTGCGGCTTCCACTAATGTCCCTAAGGCAAGGGGGGCACTTTCTCTCTCTTTTCTATGAAAAGATGTTGATCGTCCGTAGTAACCAAGGATGGATGGAATCAGAACCCTAAGTGGATGAGATTTGCAGGAGGGGACCAGTTTCTGTCGGTCATCTGCCTGAAGTGAGGCTGGTGGCCACACTTCGGCCATCTGAGCCCTAAAGATCCTGCCACCCGGCCTGACTTTTCTGCTTCATTTTGGAAGCTTGCTGTAGCCCTCTGCTTTTTCCAGACTTGCTTTTAGAACGTGGATTTTTTTTTGTCATCGGTGTGCTGAAAGTTGGTTCCTTTCTTCCCTGCAGAATGCAGAGCCTGCTATCACAAGACCTGCTTCCGTTCAGGCCCCTGCCCCAAGTGTGAGCGGCTTCAAGCCCGGAGGGAGCTGCTGGCAAGACAGAGCATGGAAGCTGAGCTCTCGGACTACGAAGACGGACAAGAGGAGGCAGAGGCAGGAGCGGCCACGTGACAGACTACCCTTCGATGCCTGGCCTTTGCCTCCAGGGACTGGACTTGACTCTGAACCAAAACTGACTTGCCCGTGGCTAGCAGGCCAATGCGATGGAGAAACCCCCGAAGGCTCTTTTTTTGCACCTGGCCGGGGAGATTTGGTATTTCATTCCGTCTGGGCTGCAGAACTGGGGGGAGAGGCTGGTTTGCTTGCTCTTCCTGCCACCCGGGTTCGATGCACTACACAGCGAAGCTGGGCTACCCCCACTAAAAAGGAGAGCGGCTGCCTTTTGTCCGAGTGCCAGGGTCGAGTGCCTGAACCTGTTTCCTGTTCCACCGTCTGGGAGAAGCTGACAATGGGTGTGCCGGGGTGGAGGGGCTGAGCTCTCTCTCTCTCTTGGAGGTACCAAGGCCCTCCTGATGGGGGGAGGAAACCCCACTTGAATTGTTCTGCTCACTGTTGGCTGCCATTTGCCAGAAAGGGGCCACTTCTGTTTGAATGGCTGGTTGGCCGGAACCACTGCCTGTAACTTTGCTGCTGATCCTCTCTGCTCCAGCTCTCATTTTGTGCCTGAGATATCGATGGGGAAGCCAGAGAAGGTGTGTTTCTGTTATATTGGGAATTACCAAGCCATTGGAGGAAAAAAAAATAGATGGAAGAAGCAACAGCGTCCCAGTAACCAGATGGCTTCGCAGGCTATGTTGCCAAACACCTTTTGTAAAATGGTCTGCCAATGAAAACACACGTTCTCTCACACTCCTCCTCCTCTTGCAACACTTCCTTCTCTCTTTTCTCATCCCCGTCTCTCCTCCTCCCTCTGTCGCTGGAATGCATCTTTCAAGCCAGTGGAACTTGCAGCCGACAACACCATACCCTTCCAGGCTGCTTGTCTTGGCAGGAGTTGTGTTTTCCTTTCTGTCTGGTCAGTCCATGGGCCTGCAACCCCTAGGAGTAAGCGCAGGGAATGGATAAAGGGTCTCTCCACACCTCCCCCCCCCCATTTGAGCAAGCCTGCTTTCCCTTGGGCATAGCTTGGCCACCTTCTCGCTCACTCACCATTGAGGTTTGTAGTGTTGTGTGTGCCTGACCCTCCCTCCTGTGTGCTGGAATTTCCTACGAGTTGCCCGTCACCCTCTGCTGCTTGCCTGCTGTCTTCCTTCTAAGGAAAGCCCTGTCGTGCCCCCTTGTCAGCCCGTTCTGAGCTCACAGATGTCTGCCTGGTGCCCTGAAACGGACCACGTGCCTGCAGGTTCAGGGCAAGGAGAGAACAAAGCAGAGGAGGCCCTGGAAATAAATCTTTTCCGGATCAGGCTCGTGGATGGAGCTTGTTTTCCCTCCCTGCTTCCAGCGGTGCCCCTAACATCTTAGCAAAGTATGTTAGGCTGTGTCTAATGCAGGTGGCCACCACCACCCCACTCCGAGAGTCCTCATTTGTGTTGCTGTTTTGCAAGCTAGCCAGGAGTTCCTTGCATCGTGGCTTGCCAAGGCAGCAGTAGGCTTTCACGGGCAGCCCACAACCTGTCATGAAGGAGCAGGTGGCTTGTGAATGTGTGTAAGGGTCAGTGCATTGTCTGGAGGTGGGAACAACACGCCATGTTGTCCTGAGTATTTCTGTCGGGCCAGGAAGGATTGAGGGCCTTCTGGCATAGTTGACTGAAAGCGGAGGTTCGGAAGCAGACTCTTCCCAAAATTGCTTCACATGTGCTTTCTTTTTTGGCACAGATGGCAAGACCTGATTTTAAGACTCATGGGGGCAAGGAGGGATTTGCACCGATTTTAAAAAAAGAAAGAAAGAAACAACTCTGTTGGTTCTTCTTAAGAAAAGCAGTGACTGAAATCCAACTGACATGCAGTGGACAGGCATTTGCAGAGTGAAAAGGACCGGGTCTTTCGCTTTGCGGCAGTGAGAAATGTTTACACTTCCCCCTTTGCTTTTCTTGTCTTTTTTCAAGCCACAAAATTGTTAGTTTTAAGGTTTTTGTAGGGCCAGGAAGCTGTTCTTCCCCACTATCTGTTAAGTGCAACACGGGAAGATTCTGGTGCTTCTCTGTGGCTTGGACTGACTTTAATTTCACTGACCTAATTAGTGGTCTCTGGCCCAGAACCTTGGCCTTCGGTGCTTCTGATGGGTTTGAAGCACCGGCGGTATGTGTCGCCCCCAGGAATGGTATACTTGGAATACTTCACAGGCTGTCCTGGTTTCAGAAAGAAAATCCTCACGCGATTGGCTTCGAAATGTTCAGGAATGTGGTTTCTCTTTAAACCTGTTTGCAAGCTGGTGGAAAGCGCCCTAGAATGAAAGAATGAAGGAGCAAAGGAACAAGGGAGGTGGGAACCCAGATAAATAGGTGGCCTTGTTTGGTGAGAGAGGTCACTTGGGTGGACCTGTTAAGTTGAACCCTTTGGATGCCTTTTGGGGTTGGAAATTCTCTTGAGATGGTTTCTCTTTCGATATTTGGCTGCAAGGCTGTTATCCATCGGCTCACTCCAAATGTGGGATTTCCTATGCCACACAAGGGGACCCCTGCTCCCATAGGTCTGTCACCCCTACAGTTGCCTCTCGTTTTACTCCCGTGGAAACAGAAATACGTGTGAATGGAACTGGCTTCCAGGTTACACCCCACCACCACCCCCTGGCCGGGTCTGTACTGGCAAAAACGCAAACGTGAAAAGGTTGCCGCTGTGTGGTCTCTCCGATCCTTGCTCTCCGGCTCCTTTCCCTTGCCCTCACTTGAGAAGCTTGGATTTGCTAAGATCTCCTAACCATGTGCATAAGCTTCCCTTTCTGCCAGAAAGTATTTGCATATTTTCTGCACTAATGCTTCCCTCTCTACCACCCCATTCACTTCTTAAGAAGTTTCTATTCTACCTGTTTCATGACCACAGTACCTAGAACGTTCATTGGGGGGGGTGTCAAATAAAAATCTTGAATTAGGTTGCTTTTGTTTGGAGGCAGGGGGGGAGGAAGTGAGCGTGTGGTTCCTTTTGCAGGGTGTGATCCGGATATGAGAGGGGCTCATGGCCGCTTCCCCTCTCCGAAATAAATGGGGCTAGCCCGCCTTTCTGGGGGTTGGATGAGGCTGGGGGACAGTGGGCCAGCATCCCACACGGCGCGACCCTGCCTCATTCGAGGATCTCATGCCCTAAAAAAAGAGAGAGTTAATCCGAACAGCACCCCATCCCATGGGTTCCCTCCAGGATGCCGCCTCTCGGGACGATTTCTCCAAGAGCCTGGGCATGTTGAGTTTTTTTGTATGCACTTTTTGCACTCCAAGGCCCTGTTTCATAGCTGTTTTCCAGAAGCACTGATTTTGATTTCAGGAAAAGCCAGCAGATGGATAGTTTGGTGTTTTGTTTTACGTGAATGTTCTTCAGAGTCCTTTCTGGAGTGGCTTGGAAGGCCCAAGAAGGGAGGAAGTGCGTTCCAGCGGAAGAGTTGAGCCGGAGTGCGAAACGCTGATGACGCTGCGGTCAGGTCTGGGGGTTTGCGATGGTTTCGCCGAAGGATTGCCACCCGTATTGTTGTACATGGTATGTTTGTAAAACCAGTGTTAGTGTTGTTGAAACTGTCTCCCCACCCCTTTCCATCTGCTGCGGTGTTTTGCACACAGCATAATAATGGAAATCCCGTCCATAATAAACTACATTAATAATTATACTGTTCTTTTCCTTCATTTGCTTCTTAAGACTTATCCCCCACCCATTTTGTGGACAAGCCACTACTACTTTGTGAACAGCTTCCAAAAAGTAACATGAATATGCAAACAATGAAAATAACATATAAAAATAAAAACCCTTCTTAAAACCTCTGGTCTAGCAAATATCCCCAGATTCAGAATGATGAACCGTGGGCTGATGTAAAATGACTGCAGAATTAATATTACAAAGGGGGGTGTGTGTGTTTGTAAAGGCCTGGGTGAGAAGCTGGGTTTTAAGTTACTTCTGAAAGCTCCAGAGGGGGTGGGGGTGGGCAATCGCACCTTGTCAGGAACAGAGTTCCCGAGTGGGGAGTCCATCACTGAGAAGGCCCGGCCTCGGGTTGAAGACTTTTGGGCCTCCCTTGGAGGGACGATCCACAGCAGCAAAGATTGGGGGTTGCGGATGGCCCGAGGTGTTCTGATAGGTAGCCAAGTCCTAAATCCAAAAGGGATTCATAAGTTTTTCTGGTATTTTGTGTTCAGTGGAGAGAGATGGGGAAGGGTGCTTCAAATGTGTAAGTACTGGCCTTGCTTGGTTGGTGGGGTGGGCACATGGTGAGAGGAGAAATTATCCATTCTTTTAAAAAATTAAGACGCAGATCCAACACTGCACAATTCTCCCCCACCCCCACCCAAATTCCACTTTCCAAAACTGCACTTTCTAGAACCCTTCACAACAGCCATGTGGCACGTTGCTCCAGGGTTATTTGTGGATTTGTGGGAAGCCTGAATTGTTTCAAGAATACAAACACCTCTGTTTTGCTTTTGTCTCTCTTTTTTTTTACTAAAATGTTTTATTATAGAAGCACATTCAGTTCATAGAAAAACATCTTGCAGTGCAATGCAAGTAACAGTCACTCCCTGCCATTTGCTTCTGTCGCCAAACGGATTTGCTGCTTGGTGAAGATCAGAGCGTTAATGCTGTAGCAACCCTGAGTTTCAGAAAATCCAAAGATAAGAAGAAAAAACTCTGCTTTGCAAGACATGTACTTAAGATGAACTGGGACAACCCAGGTACCTCCAATCCCAGAACTGAGAGAAGCAGCAAAAGCTTGCTCAGGTTTTACAGCTGCCTTTTCTGGATCTAGGCTGCTTTCACACCTCTGAAGCCAACAACCCAAACTCTTTGCTTACACAGGAAAGATGATGGCAATTGCCCTCCCCTTTGCCAAAGAGCTACTGGTCATCCCTTCCCTCGTGCAAGCAACCGCGTAAGCAGCAAGCCTAAGTCAAGAGTGACGTCAAGCCTTACTTACACAGAGAAGCAAGGAATTCTTTGCCTTGATGCCGATTCCCCAGTTAAGGAAAGAACCGACCGATGGGGCTCCCCTGTCTTCCCTCTCTCTTCCCAGCCCCTTGATTCCAAGGAATCATTCATCAGTTCTTGGGGGGAAAAGGGGAACCACACACCTCATGCTGCTCTCCTCCGATCCCCGGACAGAGGTGAGCAAAAGATAGCCCTCCAGGTATAGGGTAGTCAGGGCAACCCCTGGTACGGAACCCCGGCAGCCGTACCAACAGCTGGTGGGACACGACTTTGCCCGCCTTTGCCTTAAGATTAAAAGCAGAAGCGGGACACCTCGTGAAGCTTGAACCGCCCCACACCTCTGGGTCTAGAGGTATCGGCCATTTAACAAGTGATTTCTTCAAAATCAACAGTGTCTGGCTGTTTCTTGATGACATACAGTTTTTGCCTCTGCTCATCTGGGAAATCGTGCTCCTGAAGCCGATGGATGCTCCTGCACCGGATCAGGAACAGCGGAGGCCACTGCTTGTTGGAGAATGAGGGGCTCCCCATAAAAATTCAGAGAAGAGGAGGCTCTCCATTAAGGAGACACCCCCCTTCGCCCCCAGTCTTGAGCCTATTCCAGGTTGATTTGCTTGATGGGCCAAGGCAGGACAACCTGAGATCAACAGATGGGACCTGATTCTCTCTCTCATGTTTTAGGAAGGGGGAAAGTAAGCCCTCTATATGGTTGTCGAGGCTAAAAGCCCCCCCTCCCCCATGTCCTTACGCTGGCTACTGGGCAAGCTTGCGGGGGTTGTATTTGCATTCAAACTGGCTAATATCAAACTTCCTCTTGCAGCCGACGTAGTTCATGTAGCGCATCTTGCCAAACGCGGCCCGTTCGGTCCAGCCGTGGTCGTGCGTCCCGCAGATGGACCACATGCAGCCTAGTGGAGACAAAACAAGACACAGAAAAGGATCAGAGGCCAGTGTCACCCCCTTGGCGAGTGTCATGGCAGACGTGTCGTAACATGAACTGCCCAGCATGCTAAAGGTGTGGGCCGTACGACTTCCTACACAACAGGGCAGACTTAAACTCTTAATAGGGCTCTCCCACTACATATTTAGGTCTTTATAGGATGTGCAGAATTACAAAGCCAAATGGAAAGGGATCCAGGATTTCATTCCTTCTGCCCAGAAAAGTGAAGGGAACTACCAGATAGACTCTTCCATAGCTGTGTTTTGTTTTCTGAGTCAAAAGTAAGCCTTTAGCCTTCCTAGAAATTTCAGAACTACAACGCCCATGACGGCTTCCTACCAGACATGCTGGGAGGGGCTGATGGGCATTGTAGGTCCAAACATCTGGCTACACAAACGCTCTACAATTCTATTTTTGGACTCCAATTCCAGCATGACCTTCAGAAAATGAAAAAGGCCTGCTGTCCTGATACCTATTAAAAGCTGGGCTACAAAATTCCACAAAAGCATTTTTTTAAAATAAAATCCCTCTGACTGCTGTTATCAGAATCTGAGCATGGCTCTCTAAGAGGTGTGGAAGTTTTTTAAATAAAAAACAACAGAGAAAGTTTCATGCTCCTATGAGTCTGTGGAAAAAAAGACATGAAAAATGGCTAATGAGAACTAGAGCATAGATTCGTATGTGCACTCAGCTCAACTATTATTAGTTGAGTCGCCCCATTATTAGCAAATCAATCATGTCAGTGGAGGCCACTGCTTGTTGGAGAATGTGTTCATGGACTGCAATTCCCAGAAGCCTTCGCCACCAGCTGGGCTGGCCAAGGGTTTCTGGGAGCTGCAGTCCAAGCACACCTGGGTCATCCAAGGTTGGGAACTACTGAATTAGAGAACAAAATTTTACAGAGGCTACATCAGGGAGCTTTTTCTGTTGTGCAGAATCTGGTTAGGTGATGCAAAACATCCATTTGCTTTTACTATGCACTCTGCCTAGTGTTTTCCAAGGGCTTGGAGAGCGCAACACACGGGTGCGCGCTCTCCGTCTTGACACCCCCACCCCTTCGATCCACACAGGACATGCTTGCTCCAGAAGACAGAGAAACATGCTGACCTGGGCCCATCTGCCCATGCCAATGATGTAAAGGATAATGTGTATGACAATGAAGCTCATGCACAAGACCCCGAGGGTGTGTGCAGGTCCCTGCAGAGGCACCACCACCACCACCAGGAAAAAATGAATGCCCATGTCATCTAAACTGGGACACCCTGCATGGAGGGAGGATGCTCTGAGTCCTCGGGACAGATGCGGTGGTGAGCACAGACCACAGGGCAGTGGCCAACAGAAGACAGAAAACATCCATTCCATTCCCATTCACTGCCTCCCAAGCTCAGCCTCCATCATGCGTAGTTACAGATTCCCACCTTGTCCCCAACAGCCCTGAGACTTAGGGGAAGAAGGGATCCCATTCACAAAGGGGACCTTTTAGGATCTGATGCTTTTCTACTGCCCTGGAGGGGCACATGATTCAGGTGAGGTCGTAAGTCAGATGCAAAGGCAGCAAGAGCCAAAGGTTCCCCACCGGCGCAGGAGCTCTTTGTGCTCTGAGGCTGCATGTAAACAGGACTCTCTTTTCCTTTTGTTTATTTTGGGCTGTCAAAGTGCCTCCCACTTAACGGTGACTCCATGAATGAGTGACCTCCTAAGTGCCTTGCAAACTCAAGGCTCTGCCTTCTTCTATTGAGTCGATCCATCTCGTGTTGGGCTTCCCTCTTTTCCTGCTGCCTTCAACTTTTCCCAGCATTACTGTCTTTCCCACTAAGTCCCGTCTTCTAATAAGGTGCTCAAAGTGTGTTTTTTTAAGGTGCCCAAAGTGTTTTCTTAAAGCCTCTGTTTCATCACCTTGGCTTCTAAAGAGCTCAGGTTTGATTTGATCTTGAGATCCATTTGTTTCTCCTTCTGGCAGTTTTTGTAGCGCAGGAGTGGGGAAACGCCTGGCTGTCCAGATGTTCCGAAGGACACAATTCCTTACCTTTGGCCAGGGAGCGTGGAAGTGAAGGAAGCTGTCGGCCAAAACATCTGGAGGAGCAAAGATTCCCCACTCTAATCTCAGCCAGGTTGTCCTGCACATTGACCATCCCATTATCTTCACCCAGGAAAAACTACTGACAAGACTACTTTCACTTCTTCCTTTTCCTCTCCTCCACAGACTAGATATCCTTGAGGATGTTCTGACTTAAGATTCAGCAGCTCCAAACGAAGAGATGAGCGTGAACCACTGAAGTGGCGGTTCGTGCAGATTCGTTTATCAGCCGAACAGGTGTTTCAGTGCTTCAAAGCCCCACGTCCTCCAGTGGGCACCCACTCAAAGGCAGTGTCCACTGGAGGAGGCAAGGCAGGGAAGACAGGGCATTGCCTGCCAAAGGAGGTGGAGTATCGACATGTCGAACATCTGTGTAGCAACCCACAGATATTCTTGGATGCAGAGAAAGCCTTCGATAGTCTCGATTGGAATTCTATGATATATTTGCTGGAAACACTGCAAGTTGGAGAGATTTTTGAAGCTAATTAAAGCAATATATACCCAACAAAAGGCAAAAGTGGGAATTAACGGCAAGCTGTCGAAAGAAATACAAATACAGAAAGGTACCAGACAGGGGTGTCCACTCTCTCCACTACTGTTTATCTTGACTCTAAAAATATTAACTGAACAAATCAGAGATAAAAAGAAATTGTAAGGATTGAAAGTAAAAGGCC